ATTGGAGAAGTATAAAGGATTTGGGATTGTTTGGTTCTGGGTCCGTTCGTCTGTCTACTGATTTGTCGTGAGATGTGGTTGATGTTGGAGACTGCAATAAAATTCCCGGGGAGAGGCCGCTAACCTGACTCTGGCTTCTGGTGATTCATTTTTGCACCTTTTTGCATCTGAAATCTACCATACTGTGCAATGTTGGTTTCGGGAAGTGGAGAAAAAAACGTGGAAATACCGAGAGCTTTTTGGCTTCAAATCCGTATACCGGCTAAAGGTGGAGCCAAGTTGTCCATAGTTTATACAATCTATGGTTGTTACAATATAAAATTTGTTTTTAACAATAACCACTAAAAACACTTGGCTGCCTGCAAAGCTAATTGGCTAATTGGCACAAAAACTATCAACAACAATGAATCTCTGGTTATTGTAATCGACTAAAATGCTCAGTGATGAATGCATATTAATAAAAAAATGAATAAATACCAGACAACCGGGTAAAGGAGGGAGAAAAGGTGGGTCCGTAAGAAGTGGCCATAAATATAACAACTGTACATGTCCAACAAGGGTTGCTGTGCTGTGCCTGGACAAAATGACTATGTGAGCCTTTCTTTAAAAACATAAACAGATAATTATCATTACTCTTTGGATCGTAATAAGTGTTCAAATGACAGGATGGTGGTTTTTGAGTAATAGGGTAAATTTAGATAAATTTAAACAACAAGACCCCCCCCCCCCCCCAACAAATAGCTTTTGATTTGCTTCATTTTTCAGTGACTTTCTCTTGAAACAGCAGCGTGCTTTTCTGGGTTGTGTGTTATCAATAAAGGCATGTGAATTGTTTCAGACCCACTTTAACTTACACATTAATCACCCTCTAGAGACAGTGTGTGTGTGTGTGTATATGCCAGCCTGTCTGGGTCTCTCTGAATCTATCATCACAGCTCACTCTCTGCTTCTTTGGGCTCATTAGAACCATGTGTACTCTACTCTTAGCAGACTCTATGCTGTGTGTTTAGAGTGTCTGTGTGTTTTTTACATACGTGGTCTAGCTGTGTTAGTGTGTGGTCAGTCTCCAGGTTAACATGAAGGTTATGACTGCTGACCTAGCTGGCGTCTATCCATTGATGTCCCTGAGTCGCAAGGGTCTAAGGTCTGACTGGACGCTGACAAAGGACTATCAGAGCCTTCTGTCTCACAGTCTTTCTTTTCTTTTATCATCCATCTCTCTTTCCCTGTCTATCTTTCTCACTTTGACAGAAAGCTGACGCAAAAGAAAAGAGCTGTCGCTCCCTGTCTTCTCTCATTCTCAGCAACTTTTTTTCTTTCATTGTTTCTTTTACCTTACATCTCAATCTCTTTTAACTCTTGTCACATTTATTCTCACTATTTAACCTCTTTCACTCAAACTGGATTTCTTTAATTCTTCTCATTCACAGCCCTGACACACTCTCAACTATCACTCACCCTGTGTGTAAAACAGAAGCATAGTTCTCAGTTTTTATAGTAACACTGAAACATTTCAGGCATCTACAAGAAGATATCAGGCAAGTTCTTATTTGTTTTACTTTGAGAGATCACTAAAACTGTGTGCTTTAAAATCAATCTGCAGTTCTTAAGAGACCGCCTGCTAAGATATATAATCTTACACCAACTGTCAAGACCATGAAAGTATGCTTTCCCTGAATGGATCGGTAAAGATATGTTATATTTTTCTTTTTTACACTTTAGTTCTACAGATTATGTCCATATCAGATTTCCTGGTCTTGATCTTTGACACACTTTGGCTTTTTAGTTTGAGTCCAAAACAGCAGGGCTATTAGTGTAGAAGTGTGTGCTCACAGTCAATGTTGTTTTTGTCCATCTAGTATCTCCAGAGTTCTGTCTATGAAGCAATATGTACTTCCTGTTTCCTGCTTTGCTGGCCAATGAAAACCTGATACACCCTGGAGAGCACTGCAGGGTGTTGAGGGGGGAAGTTGAGAAAGAGGATGAGACAGGAAAGGAGATGAAACAGATGGGAGGTTAAAACAACTCTAGCATGTGGGATGAAAGTTTTACATAAAGGGATCTGTTTATAAGGGAAAAAATTGAGCAAATTAGTCTTTATTATACTCGTGAAAGAGGGAACGGTCGGGATAAAGGGAGGATGAGAAAATAAAACACATTCTGATGTAAATGCTTCTGACATTAGAAGCTGTGTCAGTGTGTGTGAGCCACTATCTCTGTGACCGACATGAGCACACAATGCTGTTCGTTATTCAATCTTGTTTAATTGGTTTCAAGTCTGCCTCATTTGCATATGCATGCTAAGATGGCATCTCATTGGAGAAGAGGTGAGAATGGAGAGGGGTTGAAAAGCATTGAGAAAAAGAGGAGAGAAAGAAAGAGAGAGAGAGAGAGAGAGAGAGAGAGAGAGAGAGCTGTATAAAGACAGACTAAAAGGAGGAATGAATGAACAAACAAGTGAATAACAGAGATGTGAGTAAGTGGTTCTAGAAAAATCAGTCTTTCTGGTTACCAAGGCAACGAGAGGTGCAAGTTGGCTCTGCGCCCTATGTAACCAATTACGTCTGTGTGTGTGTGTGTGTGTGTGTGTGTGTCTACTATCTAGGGCTATTGATATGCAAAATAGAGAGTGGGTCCATGTGAGCATTTGATTAAAACGTGGTCTGTTTGCATCTGTTATCTGTGTAAACTGTCTCCAGTCACTTTCCTTACCAGTTGCAAATCTTTGTCCTCGCTACACGAATATACACACACATACACACAAACAAACAAACACATACACAGCTCAACACAGCCATGTTCTCACTTTTGTGTTCATACTGTTTACAAAACACGGCACAGAAAGGATTTACTGGAGCACAGCCAGAGGTGGCACCCCCTAGTGATAGGTACAGACTGTAATGCACCGATAAGCTTTATAAGTTTGATTTTTTCATTTTTGATACATATCCAGATGTGACATTAACATTTAGTTAGATGTCATATGTGACAAAATTACACTCAAAACAGCAGCTTGAAGCGCACCATGTAAGATTTTTGATCAGCTGTGATGCTAGGATATCATTTATACCTCTGAAACCAACATTTATTGGCAGTCTGAGAAACATATAAGGCAAACTGGAGGTGTCACAGTATAAACAGTTGTGCATCTAACAGACAATGCTGTTATTACCCATAGAAGAAATAAATGTCAGCAGCTTTGAGTTAGACTGTCATTTTTATGAGCTGGCTCTTTACATTGCACATCAATTCAGATGTGCAATGTAAAGTCTTTGGAGTACTTTCGGGTAGAAACAATCCAATTTCTCACAAGACAGATCTCCACATCAAGTCAAGCCTTTGCTTTCTGGTTGATTTAAATTTTTTAGATTAATGAAGAGTATTTTGTGTGTCGGTCAGTTTGACTTCATTAAATGCAATCCTGCAACAAAACTCAACTACCAATCATCTTGTCTAGACAGTAAGCTTTCCCTCTAAAGCAAGATTAAAGTGTATTTCCTGGCAGAAAGTTTGACTTCAAAACTTGGCAAACTTTCACATTTACGTACTTTCATAAAACTTTTCAGTTTGCTTTATTTTTTTTACTCCTTTGTGTGATGTCCTGCAATTATTTGGTAACACTTTACAAGAAATTAGTGGGATGATCTATTTAGATTAAAATAATTGGTAACACTTTACTAGACACCTATCTCTATAACGCATTATAAATATATATAAAATGCGTTATAATCACGTTATAGCACTGTATAACTATAGTTATAAACACATAAATTATCATAATGCTTTATAGCAGTAATCATAACACATTATAAAGCATTTTATCATGACTTACAAGTTCAGGTATTATAATGTGATATGCTTATTGTTATAAAGCCTTATCATAATTAATGAGTGTTTATAATGACAGTTACACAAGTTTATCAGCAAATTATAACACATCATAAATATATGTATAATGAATTATCTATGTGGGCATTGTCAGTGAGTTGTTAACAGTTATAACATTATATATACATTATAATACCTGACCTTGTAAGTCATGATAAAATGGTTTGTAATGTGTTATGATTATTGCTATAAAGCATTATGATCATTTATGAGTGTAACTATATTTATAACTAAACTATAGTTATAACTATAGTTATTAAGTGCTATAATGTGATTATAACGCATTATACATATATTTATAATACCTTATAGAGATAGGCGTCTAGTAAAGTGTTACCAATTATTTTAATCTAAATAGATCATCCCACTAATTTCTTGATATTTTGTGTTTGGGTATATATTTTCCTGGCTATTTAAAAGCTGTCATCTGTGCTGCTTGAACAAAAAGACTTCAATCAAAATTTTTTGTGGTTGTTGTTTTTTGTCAAATGATTGGTTGTTTTTTTTCAGTATTTTAACAGTCATGTACTCGCTTGAAACCCCTTAGAGTTTCTTGCAGTATAAACAGAAATGTGCACTAAAGGAAGCATAGGGAAGATATTGTTCCATAACTTTGTTTTTCAAAGTGCCATACAAATGATAGAGATTTTAAGTAGTATTATCATGAGACTAAAAACAGCATATATAAAAAGAATAGATTGAAAAATCGGGCTCATGTCGGGCCGGAACACTTTGTGTATGGGTTTAAATTTCCTACTTTTAATGTAAGAGGAACCATTTTGAACCATTCAAGCATCCTTAAAAGCACTTCTCGCCATCATAAAGTGAAACAGCTTATACTGCTTAACTCTTTATTGAGGACTTTGGACGCTGAATTCCAATGAGATCACACACATACACATGCACACTCACACACACATACACAGATTCCCAGTCTTGTGTGCTGCTGTGACATGCAGCCTATACACACAGGTCTTTGTCAGGCCGTTCTTTGTGGACTTGTACCTTTTCAGAGGGGCCATTCTGTCCCTCAGTGGGACCACCAGTGAGTTAGAGGAGCAGCCAACTCGGACACTGGCACTAATTGGCTACGCTGTTAGAGGCCCACAGAGCCACACTTAGACTGCAGAAATAAGCTGGTCACTGTGAGGATGGAGGCCGGGCAAGGTGCCTGCATGAATACGTGATACGGAGGAGGACAGATTGCTAATTAGGGGTCTCTGATGAACATGAGAATCATACAGAAGCAGTTCAAAACCTTCCTTCAACTTGCAACACACACACACACACACACACACACACACACATTCTCCCTCTCTCTCTCCTTCTGTCTCCTCGTACCAGAGCACTTAATTGGTTGGTTGGTGCTGGTGTTTATGGTGGAAGTTGTGTGTGTGTTGAGGAGGGGGGTCTTTTGTCTGATGCACTTCAGCAGCTCTGATTGACAGCAGGGACAGGAAGTGAGGGCGTAGGGCTTAGAGAGGAAAAGAGCTTTTCTCTCCACGCTGCCTTTCTCAGATTAACATTCTCCTCAACCTCTCCAAATTCCTCTCGTCCTCCTCTCCGCTTTTTTCTTCCGCTCCCGCTTTCACTCTCTCTCTCTTTCTCTCTCTCTCTCTCTCTCTCACTTGCTCTCTCTTATCTCTCCCATGTCCTACTCTTCTCCTTCTCCTCCCCCCTGCATCCTTCTGTCCATTTATATCCATTTACAAAGCATCACACAAGACTTTTTAGAGACACTTCTGTGGCCTTTTTGTCACTCCCCCCTTCTCGCCTTGGTCATTTCCTCAGAAGCAAGAACGATTAGGTTACTCGAGGCTCTGAAGCAGCTGAGGCACATTGCTAACCAAATGCTTATACAACTGTGCCAGTGACATGAGGTGATGGAGTATCTACTTATGCTCTATTAGCCTAGAAATAAATCAACTCCTACTGAACCTGGCTAAACCCAGACTCTGTCGACATGGCTGGTGCTGATATCCATAATATGTGATATGTCTGAGAGGTCAATTGTTACAATCATGTCAAAGTGTTGATTGAAAACCAAGGAGACAATCTTACCACGACTGAAGCCTCCGTAGAAAAATAAAGCAAATGAAGCTGCTGCTGCTGCTTGCTGAGGTTGATTGAGGATAAGGCATTACCTCATCAGATTTTCAAAGCCTCCTTTTTTCTTTTTTTTCCTGCTGCATTTGCCTGGAAACAGAAAAAAATATCCTTTAAAAATATGTGTGCCTTAAAAAAAAAGAAATTTTGCAGATAGATAGATAGATAGATAGATAGATAGATAGATAGATAGATAGATAGATAGATAGATAGATAGATAGATAGATAGATAGATAGATAGATAGATAGATAGATAGATAGATAGATAGATAGATAGATAGATACTTTTACTCACCCCATTACTTTTTCAAGACTCCTCTTGGAGGCACCTATGACTTAAAGCTCATATTGTATCTACTGTAGTATATTGTATCGTATTGTACCGTAATGTATTGTGTTGTATCGTGTCGTATTGTGTCATATCGTATCAGTGTTTTGTATCATACTGATTAATGTTGTATTGCAGTGTATTGTACCACAACGTATCGAATCCTATTGCATCATATTGTATCGTATCATATCATATTGCAGTATATATTTTTTGTATCATGTACTATCATGTCATGGTGTATCGTATCGTGTCATAGCCAAAAAGTATCATAACAAGTTATATTGTATCATGGTGAACAGTATCAAATCGTATTGTATCACATCGAAAAGGGAAGCTAAAATAACTTGAAATAACCTAATTAACAAGCACTACAGTAACTTTCATAGTTGTAGCCATCTTGTTTCTGCCTCCCATTTTGCTTTTTTCCGACTTGGTAACTGAAACGCTGGTAACTCGGGTGTGACCTCATTCCCAACTCGGACATCTGACTTCCGAGGTAGCTCGAACGCAGCATTATTGTACAAAACAGTGTCATCAGAGGCCTTGAGATTCCCAATTCAGTATCTTTTTGTTTTTACAAATCCACAGCAGAATCTGTGTTGAGTTGGGAGTAAAAGTAAAAAGATGTAAAGTTGAGGAGGTACAGCATCAAAGACCTTCAGCACCAAACCTTAGTCATCTTTCAGTTTTTTATCCTGGTCCATGAAAAGTGAATACTCGCCTCTGAGCATTTTACAGAAATGTTGGTCATTTTGAAAATTACTCTCGTCCACGGTGGCTGCAGAATATCTCTTTCCTTAGTGGTTTTAAAATTAATGTGTGCTGAGGCATGTAGATGAATTCAGCAGATAAAATCCACAGAATTCTTTTCATAAGCTTCTCTACATTCCTTTTCCTTTGTGTTTCCAAAGATAACGTTTCCTGTGCTTAAAGACACAGCAGTTAATTCGTTAAACCCAGGTTGTAATTAGTAGAATTTTTTCTCTCTTGTACCTCATTATTTACACTAAACAAGCTTCAGAAATGTGTCTTTTTGGTATGGACTTGAGAAACAATTGCTTGAATGTGTGTGTGTGTGAGTCATAATCCCAGTTACACTAACATTTTCTCTCACCAGGTCACTGCAGAGAAAACAAAAAGTCAGACTGTCTGTCGAGTCTGAGTCCATAGGGCTTTGAAAAGACAAGTGGTTATTTAAACGAGTCAAGTTTGTTCAAACAACGTGGAGTGAAAATAAGACCCAGGTTACAAGAAAAACATTCTTCTTTGTTTTTGGCCTGATCTGACAATTACAGCACTTCTCCTTATAACTCAGTTAGGATCCATTACAGTTACTCTACCAAGTTTAAAAGAGAGGTCTATAAGAGGACAAAAGCTGTGTGAATTTAATGTTTGAGACAAAAGGAAGGCAAATGCAACTGTGAAGTGCTACAGCCCATCATGTTTTCTCTCAAGCATAATGGAAGGACAAAACGAAGGAACAAGTTTACTACGTCCACATTTTATTGCCCGTGTTCATTCTCCGCTTCAGCTCTCTGTTACATCGTCTTAAAATCACCCACTATCTCGGGTTTTGTTCACCTTCGAACGAATGTAAAATAAAAGGCGCATCTTGTTGACATCAACTTCTATTAGACAAAAGGAAAAACATAACAGCGTACACAATTCTCAGAGGGGATTGACATTTTTTCAAAATTCACATCATGTATCACCTTTACACACACACACACACACAAACATACACACACCAAGAGCAAGGTTGTTTTTAAGATATTTGTGGGTAACAAAGATTTTAAAAAGGAACCAAGAGAGGAATATAAAAAGGAAGGTTAGACAGAACATGAGTGCAGGGGAGAGAGGAGGGATAATTAAATAGTAAGAAGAAAAACTGTGTGTGTGTGTGTTAGCTGGACTGAACCATTGAATAACTTAAAACTCCTGCACACACAAACTGGCACATGCAGACACACCCTCGTACACATTCAAAATGCCACATATACATACATGTTTCATGTCATTAACAATATTTAATAAATTACAAAATAAAAACAGAAAAAATAGCCATGCACTACCTGTACAAACGCAACAGAAAAACTCATATCCAACATGTAAAGAAATCGCCAAATTAACTACTTTGTACTCTCAATATAAAGCACCATCTGTTTTTAAGCAACAGTCTCCCCTCTGCAAATCCACAAAATAAAAGACACAGATTGGAGGAAAGAATAAAACAGAAACTCTATTCCAGTATGATTCTTTGAAACATCAAGCTTTAGGCTGGACTCTGAGAACTTCAAACTACTGAGGTGACGGAAGTTGAGGTTTTCTGTGACAAGTTTTAAAGTGACGTTTCTCTGTCATTCAGTGAGTTTTTGTTGTGTGAGTATATCCAAAGTGCAAAAGGGTTTTCTGCTCTCTGCTCTCTACAGTCTAACGTAATACTGTCTACTAGTGAAAACCACAGAACACCAAAAGTGCAGGTGGATAGTTTACATTTCATCTTCATGTTTTTACCCCTGTGCATCAAACCACACTGGTTATTGTTAGTTTGTGGTGTGAGATTACATCTGTATTGTTAAAGGTGTGTCTCTATAAAGACATGAACATTCTACATCTGCTTTATATACATAGTTTTACTTTTGGATTAAGCAAGGCAAACAGCACATAGAGGATGATCAGACCTTGTGTGACACAAGAGAGAACGTGAGGTCACAGCTAAAGTGTACTTACATCTCAGTATGTTTTTTTTTTTTCTGCATGATACACATAGGATGTCTGACATTGACTCTTAATGATGCAGAGCTGTTTGGTCAACCCTGCAGCCCGTTCAGACACCTTGGCATTTCAAAAGAAAAAAAAAACAAAGGAAGAAGGTGAAGGGGAAAAAAAGGTGGGTGAAGGAGGAAAGCAAGGAAAGCCGAGACAACAAAAGATGAAGAAAGTAAAAAAGAAGAAACAGAAAACAAGAAGGCAGTTTGGTTGCACCTCTGAGCTGGTCAGGAGAGGAGATCCAGTCTCCCTCTATCACATGATGTTTAAGTTAAAACACAGGGACACGGGTGAGAGAGGTTTTAAAGGATGGTGCCTACACAAGCCACTGGCTCTATCACACCACTACAGCTGCACTGTAAGATAGGCTGCAGAAACGGAGCGAGTGGAGAAGGGTTTGAGTTAAGGATCGGTGGTGCCTGCTGTGTGCTGCTCTGGCTAGCTGTATGTGAATCTCAGAGGCTATATGGTGTCTGAGGTCCAGGGTTAAAGTTCATAAGGGTTATAGGATACGAGTGGGAGGTGAGAACATTCGTGGGAATCCAGCTTGATTCCTATTGACGGCTTATATCAGCATTTCTGAAGTGAAAGGCAGGTGGGGTATGCACCTTCAGCAGAAACATGGTTGGGAAAAGAGCACCTCAGTGGTGCCAGTGAAACCTACATGCCGTTATTATAAAGTGTCTGTACAATAAGGTTTGAGCTATTTTTTAACAGTCAACATTAGAGGTGTTGGATTGACTATTTAACCTTCACAATTATGACTCGAACGTCAGCAAACACTCCGAGCTCTCCAAACTATCGGAAATATTCAACCTCGACGTCTCAACGTTAGTCTCTGTGATTTGTATCGGAGTCTGACAGTGGATCCAGGTGATCTGGATTCTCATGACCCTCGTTGCTGTGTTCATGATCAGGCTCGGGGTCCTCATCGTTGCTCTCCGCACTGTAGTCTATAGCCTCCAGAAAGGACGGCTCATCCTCTTCCATCACGTACGTTGTGGGGCTGCTACTGCAAAACAACATAAAGTAACAGTGAGTTCATCAAGTCAATAAATCCTGAACTTTTAAGAGAAAACTCCTTTAAACCTGCATTAGGATATCAGGTCAGAATATTTTCCTGTCTGTAAAGAACTCCTTCATAAATAAACACATTTGTGTAATCTTCCTGATTCATGTACACACTTTTATATATTCTTCACCCAATATCGCTGCAACAGGAAATCAGTAAAAGCTCTTTCATTTTACAGAAAAGAAAAACAAACAAACAAACTTGTAGTCTTGTCATTTTTGGAGGAGGACTTTAACAAATTGGTTACAGATTTATTTGCCAGTTTAAGTAACTGTTTTGGCCTAAGTTAAAGGTACAATAAAAACACTTAATTCTTTACTACAGACAGTGGATGTATGACATTATAATTCATCTTAGAATATATTTAAAATCTTAATAAAATACAAGCTGGAAACAAACAACTTGTGTGTTCTGACTGGTGGAGCAGTTTTTTTTCCCTCTGGGTCTTAATGGTTAAATGGTTGCTGGTTCTTGAGGTTTTAGTGGCTTTAGTGGGTTTTTAATGGTGTTAATGGTCTGAAATGTGATCCCTGGGAGACAGTCGATCAGGGGGCTCAGACAATGATCTCCCACCGAGCTCAGCAGTGTTTGAGTGCGAGGGAGGGAGACACACACGGAGAATAGTCTCCGTTTGTGTACAGTAAATGTGGATGTGTAATAATGTGTGTGTATGTGTGATGATGTGGATAGACAAACTATTGTCCGAGCAGATAATGAGAGTTAGGAGTCAACCATTAGAAGCCATTACAGACACACCAAACCGGATCTCTTCTTTCTTTGTATTACATTTTCCGCATCAACCATTTACAGTTCTGTTGATACCGAGTCCTCTAAATATAAAGAACTATTTAACACCGCCTGCATTAAAACCCCCAATTAACTTTATTCCCATGTGCACGCAGAAAAACCTTCACCACCCGCATACATGTATTTCTTAGTCTAACTTGGACACAAAAACACACCGATGCCTATACTGCTCATTTACCCACCCTGAAACCCCCAGTTATTTGCAGGCGCCTCCCAATGGCCACATTATCATTGTTGTGATGCCCTATTAAACGGTAAATGGTATCATACCAAGCCCCACGCATAAAAACCATAAACCTTGGATGAAAGCGACCAATCCCAAAGGACACTCACGCAAACACTCATACATACATACACAGTCCCTTAATGATCAGACACATAAATGATGAATGAATATATCAATATGAGAGTGGAGTGGGGTTGGTGAGAGAGACTGAAAGGAAGCACTGGGAGGGATAGGAGCATTAAGTGGTCGGGAGTTTAAAGCCTTTCTTTTATATCAAGTGCTTTAACAAATCTGTGGCGGTGAATGCTGAGGTAAAAAAAAAAAAACAGAAAAAGAAATTAAGATAACCTTGGTGGTCGGAGTAGGGTTGGGCCAAGTTTAATATTTTATAAGTGCCTCTGATCTGCAGAACAAAATTATCTAGGCAGATGTCTTATTACCGAACGGGGATTATTAATCGAGTTGATTTGATACACAGTAAAGCCATGTGGTCGTCTGATGAGAAAGACCGGCTCATTGGCTGATGCCCCCATTTTTGGAAAATAAGCATGACAACTTAGGAGGCATCTTTGTCTGTCTTCAGAATATGTTGATGTTGTCGGAGTCAAAACTTTATTTCATGACTTAATTTTTGTTTTGCTTTTCTATTTTTCTACTTCACAAAACTTAGAGTTAATGCAACTATCCAGGGCAGAGCTGCAGGCAACAATTCAGTTCAGTGTTAAATAATAAATTTATTATTTCTTAAAATTTATAGCTTAATTTTGAAACTTTTTTGAAAAACTGGGTTCATTTCTTTTAGTCTAACATGACATCTAGCAATACTATTATCGTTGACAAATGAGAACATTAACCAGCATTAACCAGGTGTTGAAAAATGAAGTTCAAGCACTCCTAGAAAAAAGGACCAAAGCTCTCAGACTCAAGGCATTTTCTGACCATTTTACATCCGTGATAACAAAGTATCTCCAAACCAGTAGGTAAAGGGTTAAACCCAAAGGAATTTCTTTTATGGCTCTGAAAACTTAAGAACGCTTATCCCTTCAATTAAGATGCAGAATTTAATCTCTGAGGATTCATTCAAAAGATTTCTTTCAAAGGTAATTTAGAGAGGAAACGGTTTATCAAGTACAAAGTACATCTGCTGATTTTAAAATACATTGGAAAGTAGTTGTTTTTATAGGTTTTCTGTTTAGTGCGTAGAGAAAAAGAGGGACAAGAGTATTAAGTGATGAACATAACAAAAACCATCTTAAGATACACTGTCCCTGGAACGCACACTCATCCAAGTAAAGAAAGAAATGCTTCTCCGCTGTCCACCTTTCTTTTTCCTTCCTATTTGATCAATTTATTCCAGCTACAAGCAAGTGAGCAGCAGGGCAGTGTACTCGTAGGCGTAGTCCATGTATTTAATCTGCATGGTAGCATCCGCAGCTCACTGTGGCCCCGAAAAACCCCTCTATGAAGGCGCTGTTTTACGCTCTCTTAGAGAAATAATGACACTGCTGATAATTATTCATACCCAGTCCCCTCTTACTCCTGAGTTTTCATTATATTCATCACATGGTGACAGGATTTCAGTCCTGTATAAATGCAGGCCTCAATTTATTTCTTGAGCAATGCTTTAGGAGATCCGGAGTGACAGTCACACTGAGAGATTTGGTGCCAAGAGGGAGCGTGTCTTAGAGTAGAGAGGGTGTGTGTGTGTGTGTGGTACAGATATAGAAGAAAATAGTCAAAAACCAATTTAGTGTTTTACAGGTAAGAGTTTGGTGACAGGAAACTCTTTTCAAATCACAGATATCTTCGGAAGGTGGTTTGGGGATGCTGTGTTTGTAATACTGGGAGATACAAATAATTGGTCCATGACATCTGTTGTGTTACTTCGCCTTCTTGTTTCTATGAAACAACAGACTTGATTCCTCAACTCTGTATGTTTTGTTTGGGTCTTGTGAGATTTAAAGTCACACTCTCTACCTCTTAGCAGTTGCGCAGCTTCTGTCTGCGCTTGTGGGTGGTGGTTTGGGAGCCCTGCTTTACTAACCTGACTACTTTAGCCTGCGTCCCAATTATATCGCTCTCCAAATCCAGCAGATGCTGGTGGTTGCGGATCCCAGTCAGCCTCTTCAGCCTCAGCAGGGCCACGCAGAACTGAGCTCCCATCTCCTCCAGCTCTCTAGTCCCGATCTGAAGACCCTGAGGGGAAAACACGCAACATCAGAAAGAGCCAAACCCTAACATGAAGCACTCGTAACACAAGATAGAACAATTACAGCTCATTTTATACACAGCAGATACTAACACACGTTAATAATAAAAAGAAATCAAAGGTCAAATTCTTCTGAAATGTCTGCTGAAGCTGTCCTAGTCCCCTGGGATGGAGCTGTCCACCTTCAAACGCATACGTCTCAAAGCCTGAAACCCCACTGAGGAAACTTATGCAGAAACATGATAATATATTTAATTTACAGGAAGCACACATTCAGCTACGTACGCACTCACACCTGCAACCTGACCAGACTCTTTACAGTACAGTGATACAAGTCGATGAATACTCTCCCAGGGACACACACACACAGATACACACACACACACACACTTCAGCTTAACCCTGACTCAACCCCCAAACTTTCTCTTCCTCTGGAGAAAAGCTAGGAACATCTAAACTTGGCCTGGCCTCAGAGATATGTAGCCTGAATTCAAAAGACATTAGTTCCTGCACATCTGGACAAATACTTCCACACAGACCAGTGTGTGTGTTTGTGTGTGTGTGTGGGGGGGTGATCAGTGCCAAAATGGCATCCCAAGGCTGCCTCTGAATATGAAAGATGTTGACATTGGCAGAATTCAACAGGAAGGAAATCATCTGGGATGGAGAGTGAGAGTGATGAGGAGGAGAAAGAGCGGAAAAGAGGTCAAAGGAAAGGAGGAGAAAAGACAGCAGAGAGGCGAAGAGAAAAAGTAAGACAGGACTGCAGCGCCACCTGGTGGACATTTAGAGGTTTGAAGGGGTACTTCATTTCCACTTAACAGGGTGTGGGACACAAATATCTGATGCCCTTACCAAACAATGAATTAGCTACACACTGTAAGCTAATGTGTTACTCCATCGCAATATCTTTAACTATAAACCACAACGACTCCAGCTCAGGTCACGCAGAGGTTCTAGCTGCACGTTTCTTCTTCTCTCGCTACTCTCTGTTCTCTAAAATGTTACGAAAATAAAGGCAGAAATTTTGTCATCTTAACTGACAGGATATACTGTCAGTCCTTGTCTTCACTATAATATGACGGGTAGTGCTGTGACGTACTTTGTGGAACAGTATCACAATCCTGACTCTATCAACAAGTGAAAAAGCTCCACCAGTAACGGGGAGGAAACGGATGCAGGTGGAGATGAAAGAGGAGGAAACACTGCTGATTGAGCAAAAATCAGACTCAGACCATGCGTTGTCATGGGGATTGCACCATAGCCTATTAATGGTCATATTATTATTTATATGAAATGAAGCAAATGACTTCACTGATACTTATTTACTAATAACTTAAACTGAACTGTCATCATACTCCCTCTGAATAGGACGAGACGCAGCGCGGAGCTACGCTTAAAACTCATAATGCGCTTTAAATTCCCTAAACTAGAACAAAAGAGAGAAATGAAGACTTGTTCACAAACAAATAATAGAGGAAAAGTGAACAAAAGTCATTATAACTTATTGAATATGAGAACAGTGGGCCTATAATGTTCATTTTCAAGACGTCGCTGTATGCACATCTGAGGCACACACAGACCCCCTACAGAGAACCTACAGCATGTTCACAGACGGTGATGCTCCAAACAGTTTGATGCAGACTACAAACTCATAGAAAATAGGTACTCAAATCATGCAGTCAATTATCATATCAGACAGGTACAAAAATTAAAGTATCCTACCAATTTTCTGCTCAGACATAAAAAAAAAAATATATTTTCTTGGAAAAATGTTTTCTCAGCTTTTTGCCTGAAATGTTGAAGTTTTGAGGAAAACAACTTATTTTTAAATACTGATAAAACAAACAAACAAAAACAGAAAAAACTGAACAAAATGGGTTTCTTCTTATGAAAACTGAAGCCTTGTACTTTTCTTTTATGCCTTTAAATAATTTTGAGAGCTTGAAAATTCGCTAAATTTGGTTAAAAAGGCTGGCGGGGGAAGAGTTAACTTGACATTTTACACCAGAAGCTTCACAAAGTGAGTTTAAAACTGAGAGCTGTACTGCACCAAGGTCTTTTTAGTCCTTACCCTTTATCAGAAATAAAAGACAAACTTACCTTGTATTTGCCCTGATCACAGCCACAGAGCGTGCTCTCCATGGTGTAGCTACGTTGAACTCCTATCTCTCTCCATACAACAACACGGGCCGTCGACTCTTTGGAGCGCTCCACAACAAAACTGCAGCTGCCCATGCTGAAGGCCGGGGCGATCTGGGAGAGGATCTTAGGTAGAGCCTGAAAAACACATGAAAGTGTTTGATATGTTTGTGTAACTTTGTACAAGTGTGTGCGATTGTGAAACAAGGGGGCATATAATAAAGTGTATTTTCTGGTAAGAACAAATAACTGTGATCAACAGAGAAAGGATCAGACTAGCAGTATTGACTTTTGCGATCCATAATGTTTGCTGTTGGCTCATGGCTTGAAGCTACACTCCACCAGGAAACTACTGTATTGAGCTGGCAACTATATTAGCATTCTGCTCAGTGGAGTAGATTTTTTTCCAATCCCAAATGCACAGTGAAACAACAAACTAATCCTGACCAGAGCAGAAGGGAAAAAAAGTCCTTCAGCACCGCTAAGTATCCTGAATTCTAAAATAAAGTTTTTCAGCCAACAGACGCCTATTAATGATGTCAAACATGGAAACAATCCAGATAAAAGTTCACTGAAGTGAAAAGTTTGGAAAAAAAGGAAAACGCAGAGGGACTCACAAGAGTTTTGATCTTAGTCGAGATGATGATGTGTTAGCATGCATTCCAATACAGACAATGTGCATTGACTGCATAGCAAGTTTTTGTGTATTTGTGTGTGCGTGTATGTGTGCAGTTGTCCTCACCCTGTATCCAAGGTCCTCCTGCAAGTCGCTGGACGTGGCGCTAATATTGGACTGCCAGACAGTCTCCTTCACACTGCAGCCGTACATGAACACGTTCTTCTTTCTAGAGTGTCCGTGGTAGTCACAATACACCTTTCATAAATGCGCACACACACACAAAAACACACACGCAGACAAGAATAAAAGGGGGGAAATGATTAAATCAATGATGTATATTGCATTTAATTTTCATCAAAACATAAACAAAGATCTAAATGAACACTAAAGACCATTTTTTTCTGAAGGACAGCGTCTTCACCTTGTTTTGTGTTGTAAATCATTGACCTCTGTTCAGTGCACAAATCTCCTGTCAAAGCCAATACCCTTAAATATAACTTGCTGACACCCGAGGAGTACAGAGGCCAAATGGAAATGCCATTAACATTTTAGACTACTTTGCTAATTTACATTTGTTAATTTAGCAGACATGCAGCCATACAGAGATAGCAGCTGAACAAGAGAAATGGCACAGAAGCAGCTTCTTAATTATTCACAAATGAAAGATGCTGCAGCAATGATAACAAGTGTCTGCCGGGTTCATTAGAGGTCATACCAGTGGGGCCCTTTGTATGTGTGCAAGGTACTGCAGCAGGCTCTTAGTGTGGTAGATGGTGGGGTGGAGCTCAGGATTGGGGCTCTGCCACTGACGATTCAAATCTTCTCCGCTCAGAGAACAGCGATGGCTATAGCGGAGAGGAGATAGCGGAACAGGAAGAGAGCAGAGCGACAGCTAAAGGATACCTCGAGACAAGAATGTGTGAGTTAACAGACACAAAGCTGTGACCAACGTGCAGGCACAGGCTCGACACATGTATGCATCTTCGGTGTGTGCACTCGCTGCGATTGTGTTTATCTTTCATCTCAGGACTCTTGTAACTCACTTTCCATTTATAACTCCATCAGGGTTTAGCATAGGGACTATCTTGAAGATGTAGGCATCTCTCAGGCTGGCTGCAAGTGGGCTGGTGCCCATCAGGAATTCCAGCGTGCCCTTCATTACCCAGCTGGCATTGGTCTCTCCAGGGTGCACTCTGGCTGACAGGAAGATCAATGGACGATTCCCTGAAGAGGGAAAAGAGCAGAACAGGGCACAAAAACAAACACAAGAAGACGAAATGAGAAAAAAAAGGAAAAGATTCTCTAATTTAAAGTTTTATTTTTTCAGGGCAGAGAAACTGTGATAGTGAACTACATCAGACAGAAAACTATTTGGGATTCGCTGCTATGCACTTGCTAGCCTTGGCCTGTTCTCACAGCATAGTATTCACCCTTATGATCTTGCAGATAGTGTGAGAAGGAAATAAGTCAGTTATCTGTTAATTTTTAAAGAAACGAACGAAAGACATGAAAGAATAAGAGGGAGTATGTGAATTTCCATCACAAAGACAGCAGAACTAACCTAATATACTTACTAAACTGACAGATGTGATCATTGGAGTTAGACTCTGGCATGGCAGTGATGGTGAGGAGGGGGCAGCTGTTTCCACCCAGGGTTTCACACAGGATATCTTGTCTCAGGTAGATCTGAGGGGTCCTCAAAGCCTCCAATTTGGACAGATGCATCTGAGAATGTAAAGTGTACTCTGAATAAATGGCGGACAGCATAGAATCATAACATGACCATTTACACTAGTGTACAGTACATTCAAAAGCACAGCACCCATCTGATGTAGGATTTCAGGACACAGAAATGATCAGTCAATGACAATAAAACACCAAATCTATCTAGACAGTGCATCAAAGAAATGACAACATGAAAACAAACAGTAAGATATGGAACTAAAAAGTTAGTTTTGAATCTTATTTGAGGTCATAGTGAGAGTTTCTCGTACACTAGGAATAAGTTAAAGGTTGGTTAAAGGTAGGTAACGGCTAATGCTGCGATGTTACCTTAAGAGTGGAGTACGTATAAGGGAAATGATAGGCAAAGTAGCAGACATCATCCTTATGGCTGAAGCTTGTGCTGAATGTCATCGTATAATAGGACTTTCCTTTTTGACCACCAGCTGCGATGGAGCTTCTTGCAAAATGATTCCTGTAGAGAAGCATCAAAATTTCAGGAGTTAACGTTTCACACAATAGAACCTGTGAATATTTCCTCAAAACATACACCTGTGCAATCTATCGCAAGGGATACTATTCTGCACCTCAAATGTTTCCTCACAGGGAGGGCAAACAACTTAATGTGAGCATTAGCAAATGCAGAACATGATATACGAAAGAGGATTAGGGCCACAAGAGGAGAAAAAAATAATTACAGGAGGGAGATTTTTTTAATTTCCATTCCGAGATTAAAGTGGACATATCGAGATTAAAGACGAAATTTAAAAGTCAGAATTTGGACTTTATTCATGTTGACTTTATTCTAGAAATTTCAAATTTAATCTCAACATTCTAATTCTCAAAATTTCAACATTATTCACAACATTTTGTTGTCTCAAAATTTTGACTTTAGCCTTTAAATTTCAATTTTTAATCTAGAAATTTCAACTTTATTGACATAATTTTAATTTTGGTAATCTCGAATTTTCGACTTTAATCTATTATTTTTTCTTTTCATGTGGCCCTAATTCTCTTTCATACATGATAAGCTTTGTTTGAGAAGAATTAATGGCAGACCATCTTGTTCTTAGAGCAAGTGACAGATTTTTAGCTGCAACGTATAACATCTGACACTGTTTGAACTACATCCGCAAAGCATACACTTGTTACAGCATGTAAACACAAACCACACTGCTCTCTGTATACTGAGTTTAAGAACCAGATCATGTCAGCAGCATTAGAGAGATGATCCTCAGTTGTGAGGGGGATTAGAAACTAGCTGGGATCTAAAATTTATGTATGAGGTTTATGTATCTAATCTGTTGTCATGTTTTTTCTTTTTACACCTCTTAAGGCAATGTTGTCTCGCTGATTTGATCACCATAGACAGCTCTAATCACAGCACTTCATACATGACCAGATTATGTGTCTCAAAATGTATCTCCAGTGATCACAACTGGTCCGGTCTCACTTCCCAGCTCCATATACAAATCAGTACTGAACCCCGTACAGCTTCTTTAGCTTTCAAAAGCAATGAAAGATGACAAACCAGCACAAAGACTCACAGAGGTGCCTGTCATTACGAACTTGTTTGTCATATAACGAACTGTTGTGTTGTGTTGTGTTCAACTATAGTTCTGTGGACTGTCCTTTAAATACAAGACCTGAACTTCTGACTCAAATCTATTTTTACCATGAAATATAAATAGACCAGACTAAAACCAGCATCATCAAAACGCTTCTTATTATGAAACACCTGTTTCTTCACTGCGCTGCATGATAACGGAGTCTAATTAACCGGCTGTAAGACAGCGTCCTGATTGGTCATTCACAGCATGGAGCGATCTGACTTTATAATGTCTCTTTCAACAAAAGTGGACATTTATGCTGGAAGGAAAACGAGGCAACTACTGCTGCAGGAGGAAGCAATTCATTAACCCTAATTGTGTAATAGTGGGATAAACATAATCTCATAAACTCAAGTTGGGATGAGTGGCAAAGACTGCAGAAATTGTAAACAATCATCGAAGTGCTCCTGTCTTTGCATTGAAGTGTTGGGTAAAGTGCCTGCTTATGTGAAGTGGTGCAACGATAAGCTAAATTTGGATGGGCTCAAGTCATTTTGGTTGAGCAGCTACATCTTTGTGAACCCCAAACATTAAAGCTCCAGTTGAGCCTGTGCTGCATTCAGCAGAGCACAGGTGACCAGCCTAAGAGGTCCAAGATGGAAGAGTTTTTCAGCTTCCAAGGTTTGCACCTCACTTACAGAGAAACAAGACCATCCTTAGTGTTCATTCGAGTTCAGTCTACATTCATAGCAGCAGCAGCGTGGTTAAATCTACTCGCCACCTTCGCTGTCAATGTCAGGTGTTGAATAAGGGACCATCAATAAATTACCAGTTGATGTTCTCAAAAAAGGCTGTTTTCCTTCAATAGTTTCAATGTCACTTGACCAATTGACCTAAAATTGATTTCAAATAATAGTACTTATGTCGACCAATAAGACACACCTTTTTATTTCCATAATTTGTCCTCATACATTTTTTGTGTTAAATTTTAAGACAAATTTTGAACATTTTTTTCAATAGCTTCTATGTCATGTAACCAAAAGACCTAAAATTGATTTCAAATAATAGTACTCGCTATATATTGTATCGCAATACTCACTGTATTGCAAAATGTTAAAAATCGCAATAATATTGTATCGTGGCCCAAGTATCATGATAATATCATATCATGGGGCCACTAGTGATTCCCACCCCCAGTAATCATTAGAGCTGTCTAAAATATATCATGATACAATGTATTCAATACACTGCAGTACAGTGGGGGGCACAATTGGAAGGCAGCATGAGCATCCTGATCATGTCTCGTGCACCTGCAACACTTGAGTTTTAATTTTCTCTCCAGTGTTCGTATATATTCCCAAGTCTTTCTCATATTAAGTGTACCTACTTGTAGTAGCAGATGTCTGATCCTGTTCTGACCCAGCGAGGCCTTCCACTGATTGCCTCCTGTACAGAGTACATCAGCACCTGCATGCCTACACACACACACACACAGATGGACACATAAAGACTGCGGCACAGGAGCTAAGAATGCTTGATGTACAAGAGCAGAACTGTGCCAGTTTAAGGGTCTGGAACTAAAATCTGACATATCTCATACACTGCAGGTCAACACTACATTACATAATGCATCATTCCTAAAGTATTAACAAATATTTGTCGGTCAGACTGAATTTGTGATGGAAACAGACAAACTCCTGGTTGTCTGAGGTTTAGTTTCCATGTATCTTACCGTAGTTGAATTGGCTGTTGGACTTTTCACAGTTGATGATGTTGAAGCGGTAAGTTGTTCCAACTCGCATCCCGCTAACCTCAAAGTAGAACCACTGGTGATAGTGATTACTGTTGATGTCTGAGTTCAGGACAAGGTCATACTCGTGTCTGAAGAAGCACAACGTTAATTTCAAAATGGAGCCAAACATAATGAACCACAAAGTGAACTTATCTTTTAAAAGTGGACCAGAGAGAGATTAAGGTGATGAAAGATCATGCAACCTGCACCACATCTTATTTAGCCTCACTGAGCTTGTCTCTTGGGAGGCCTGACTCATGCTGAAGCCAAGATCCCAAAGGGCAGGGATTTAGTAAATGCTAATTCTTGAACTCTTTCCTCCACCTGATGTGCTGATAAATACTTACTTTCTAACTTGAATAGCTTTCCTGAGGTTTCCAGACTCAAACTGAGAGTTGAACTTCAGAGATTCTCCGCTGTCTTCTACTAAAGGACAACTGACACACAATAAAAAGAAAAAAACATTATTCATAAAAGATACACAATATGATAGTTCAGTCTGTTAACATTACAGCTCTCAACATTATCAGAGTAAATCAAATAAAAGCTTCTGTAATGGAGGCTGAACGCCAGACCAAAAGGTCTGGATTGAGGCTCAATTCAGGATGTTGGATGTTTAGACTCCTAAAGAAGAGCTCACCTTGGAATGTCGAGGTCATAAACAACTTTATCCAGGATATCATTGGGATGAATCAACCTCTCAATGTCCTGGAATATCTTAGATCTGCACAATGAGATATGAAAGGAAAACACATGTACATATAAGCAAAACTGGGATGGGGGCAAAATCTGCCAGAGTAGTGTCCCTACATCACTATCTTCCATACACAGAAACGTATAAAGTGTAAACAGCAGGCTCAGAAGCCAATGTGAATCACTATGTAGAACCCGACAATGTTAGAAAATGATTGCATTGTACAGTTGAATAATTTCTTGGTAGAAATTCAATTTACAATGCAGAAACAGTGTGTTTTAAACATAATTTGAGCAGAGACTCAAAAAGGTCTCTCAGAAACACAACAAATAAATTTGTTTCTAAGGTCTGGAGTTTGTTTCCCCTTCCAACTTTCCTTGTAATTGCATTTTCCACCTTCAGATTTTTTTATAATCTGTTTGTATATCAAATCATTTTTCCAAATACCACGTCCTTATAAATATCTCACCTCTGAACGCCATACACTCTCTCCAGAAGGGGTTCTCTAAACGTTGGGGCCACATGGCCAAAGTAGTCAGGGTAGGCCACTTCAGCGTACCGGGGTACAGAGAGCGTCCCTTTCACCATCTCCACATAAAGGTCAGGGTCATGCAGTGGGAGAAGCAGCGCTGTGTCTGGAACCTCCAGAACAGCTCCTTCGTCCTCAGCCCCCTCTGAGCCACATTCGGACCCCCAGTTGCTACCTCCTCCTCCCACACGCAGAGTAGGGATACCCCCGAGGAGCAGGGGAGACTGTATGTGTCTTGTGGCATTGACTGGGGACCCTTCTTGTTTGACACCCTTTCTTCCTCCATCGTCTGCACTCAGAAACACTTCCTCTTCTAGAGAGACACCCTCCAACACATTAACTAGTCCCTGTTCTATCACCTGCCCTTGAGAAGGAGGTCTGGTGAGGGAGGACAGAGTCTGTGTGTCAGGGGACGGAATGTTTGCCTTTTCTTGTTTGTCTTGGTCCTTGGTGAGGTGGATGGTGTCCAGCTCTAAAGGTGCTAAAAGAGCAGGGGCAGTGGGAGTGAGTGCAGAGGGAGACGGCAGGCTGTGTTTTCCTTTGGCAGAGTTGCAACCCCCCAGAGAACTTGATATGGGGACATGTTTTGGGGACATGGCCTGAGCTGTGGGCACTATGATTGGACGAGGAAGCTGAGTTGAAGCAGATGATGAAGCTGACGAAGAGGATGTGGTAGAGGCACTCCTTGAGCATTCGAAGTTATGACCCTGTAAAAGGCGGTTCATTGATCAGAAATGTTTTTAGTATTATTTTAAACCTGACAGATAAAAAAAAAAGCAAAAACACTAGGTGTGTCCCGATACTATACCTATATTGTAGCCTCCAATATTGACCCATACCGATATTGATCCATTATTGGCACAAAATTGTGCATGACAAGTTTTCAACTAAGTTGCAATGTCTTTACGGACGTAAACAAAAAATACTGCCACAAGGCCGACATCACTCTCACTCCGTGCTACTTTGTTAGCACCTTAGTACACACTATTGTTGTGACTTTGTGGGTTCAGCTTGCTGGATCCGGGCACTGCTAGATAGAGGTGCCGGAGCGGAGTCTGGAATGGACTGCTTGTATCAGAGTTCTGATATCGGAGATTTTAGATGCAGGCCGATATAATCCAATATTCGTTTTTTTTTGCTGATATCGGATCGATACCAATATCGTATCGGGACACCTCTAAAAAACACACTATCTTCTACTTACTCGTGCTTTGAATATATTAATTCAGTTTGACTGGTGCTACTCAAAAGAGACTTTCTGATCTAATTTTGACCTTAAATAGATTCAGCATGAGAACTCAACACTGACCTGGAAGTCTTCAGAAAGCTCCACGAAGAACCTCTCATAAACTCTTAACTCCTCAAAAGAACGTCCAGGGCTCTTTTTGGGATGTAGCTTGTTTAGGTCTGTCTCTATGTCTTCATTCTGTGAGACAAGACAAGGGGGAGCAAATAAATAGCTACAACATACATAATTGTAAAATTAGCACTTGGAGTATGATCAAGAAAAGTAAATAACTACACGAAACAATGATTAACAACAAAGGTTAGACAAACATCTTCTGTAGCTGATTATTTACTGTTTTTTAGTGCACCGGAAATGTTGTGCTTTTCTGGATTGTTCAAACAGAATCCATCATGAATGCTTTCCAGACATGTTTGGCATGATTGACATTAAAAAGTGAGTGTTTGCCTAAGTCTAGTGAGGTATGACTGCCCTCTTCTGGACTTTTGGATGGGTGCATTCAACGTGAATCATCAGCTCCATGTACCACAACCTTTTCACTAAGAGGTTCTCTTCTTGGTCGCATATTGAAAAACAAAAACATAGCACAACACCAGAAACCTCACTCTAATGGAATGATCCACTGTCAACTTTTGACATATTGTTTTTAATTAAAAAAGTTAATATTTGAAATTCACCTTTCCACAGATAAACATTGTTAAGATTTGCAGCATGTTTTTTTTTTTACCTCCTGACCCTCAGCTTTGGCACCCTTGATAAAACGACAGGTCAAACTGTCCAAATGCTGGCCTCTCCAACAACACTGCTATGCAGTATAAATAGCAACATGTAACGTCTCCGTTGGAAATATTGAGAGTGCCTGTGAGTGCTGAGTATTACCGCAGCACGAAGACGTTCCTTCTCGTCTTCTTCATTCTCAGTCTCATTTTCTGAGTCTGCGTCTGTCTCCTCGTTATCGTCGCTTTCATCCACCACATCATCCACTGGGTAGACACACACACAAACACACACAAGTTATTGGGATTCACATCCTTGCATAATCTTTTTCCAAAATTAAGACTTCATTACTGTCCAAACTGTACACAAGTACAGCTGACTGAAGCTAGTCTCATTACTATGTAAGAGAGCAAATAAAATCAAACAGTAGTGATGAGAGCTGCTATGGTCCAGAGATGAGGGAGGGACCAAGAGGAAGAGGAATCGCTGAGAAGGATTTATAGTTTATAAGCATTTCTTCAAGAAAAATGAGTTCATTTCACCAACAAGTCAATGTAGCTGCGGTAGCGTGTCATGTTACATTGTTCTCCATCATAGGTTAACTGATACAACATGACCGCAGAATTACAATGACCATTTGGCAATTTCTTGCTTGGTGATGCCAGTTAGAGCTGTCAAAATGGCGGCTTATAAACAGAAAAGAAGGACATGGGCTAAAATGTACACATATGATCAAAGGCAGATTTAATGAAGCACACTGAGACATGAAAGATTTGAGTAACTCACCATCCTGTGAAAACAAGAGAGTCAGGTGATTGAGTACAGAACGAGTAAAGAGTCTTCCGATGAGCAAGCAAGGACTAAGAAATGGGCGCTAAAATCTATATTACGTCTTAGTTACTAACACATTTCATGTGTTAGAAAGTGATGATGCAGAGTGAATGAGAAAGTAGCAGTGAGTTAAAGTATTATGAGGGTGGAGTTGTGTCTTACGTACGTCTTACCCTTCTTTAAGGGCTTGCTGCACAGCTGCTGAGTTTTCTTTCCTGTAAGGCACATTGTGTGCAGCAGTTTCATGAATGATACAGTTAAACGTGAATTGGTGTGCGTGTGTCTTAAACTCGAGATTTAATCAAAGGTTTAAAAATAATCTATCTGTTCTGCATAGCTGCCAATGAAAGCTGTGTGCGTACACTGTGTGAGCAGAGGCACACTCGGGGAAAATGTGTGTGTGTGTGTGTGTCATATCCTCACCCCCAGGTGGCAGGCTGTACAGCTGTGCCACAGGCCCTGAAGCAGGTATGTGTGGCAGTGGGTAGTGAAAGGCTGATTTGATTGTGGGCAGGGGCAGACGGTTCTTGGGAAAACACTTTCTCATGATGAGGCTTGAAGTGTTGATCAGAGGATCCAGAGTCCGCACTGGGAGACACTCCTGTGAATAAGACCACACAGAGAGTAGACGAAGGCTGAGTGTGTGAGGGCAGAACACATAATACGCAGGTTGCATTTGACCGCCATGAATCGCTCTCACTCACTGTGGATGAGTTGTAGAGGATCCTCATGCCGTCAGCGTCTATGAAGGATTTCCTGCCCAGCTTGATGTTGGTGATGTTCCTGAGGCAAACGAGCAGCCCTTTGCGAATCAACATGTGGCGATGCCTGGTGTCATTGCGATGCCAGTCAAGATACAGAGCTAGTAGGATAGGCACATGCCCACCATCCACTGCACGGCGAGCATTAGTCTCTGCTCAGGGAAGAAAGAGAAAGCACTTAAAATGTGTAGTTTTTTAACTAAGGAGCTGAAATTAAAGAGAACAGGGAGAGTAACATTCTTCAAATCAGTAAGAAAAAAGGTGAGTTTGGGGGTTAGGTAATAAAAATTCACTGTTTTTGCTTCTAAACAGAGAATTAATCAAAGACAGGCAAAAGGTAAATGAGATGGAATTGAGAGAGAAGTAAGGAAGCAATATTATGATTAAGTACCTCTACTACATTAAACCACTGAGGAGCCAAAAGTCAATGCGACAAAGCAAATTACTCACTGGATTTGAGCAGTGCTCCCAGTGCGTCCAGAGCTACCCTGTTGATTAAGAAACATGGCAAATGGGTTACGCGGTCTGTGGAGCTACAGTCAATACGAGATGTTAAAAGACTCGGACTCAGCCAGCGAGGCCTGTGGTAGTCGCTTGTTGTTATCACACATTATTCATGCTGGATTATAGTTCAAATCAGCCGGGCTTACTTCAGCAGACTGGTGTTCTTCTTGCTGTACGGCGCAACAATCTTGAACATGAGCTCCACCACTCCACTCTTGCCCAAAGAAATCGCGTTCACCGCTTTATATAAACAGACACATGAAAGCAGAAATATGAGGCAAAAGCAGGATCAGAAAAAGCTTAAGAAGAAATCTAAAGATTATTTAAAAGAATGACATAGTTGGTTACGTGTTATATTTCTGGATAATTCATTTCAAAATGACTTACAGTTGGTAGAGTACACCCTGAGAACCTGCAGGCAGGGCAGAAGCAGTTTGGTATTCTGTAGGTTCTGTTTCATTAAGTTGACCGTGATGTTCAGAGCTCCACTCAAACGTGCCTTCACGCCAAACTTTCTGTCTAAACACACACAGGCTGTAAAGGTCAGTGACTGTGCAAAGGCAACACAAGTAAAATGCTGTTTAAAAAAGAAAGGGCTTTGCTATTTTGAGGAAGAAATTGCACTTAAAATATTGGACAGACCTCAAAACACAATCAGTATGAAATCTGTGATGTAACCATGACTTCAAGTATGTTCACAGGAAACTCAATGGGCCGCCTTCAACAGCATACACCGTGCATAATGAGTGTTACGACGAGTTTGTGTTGTCTGTGTTCGATTGTAAAAGTATGCCTACCTTTAGGGCCAACCTTGGCGAGCAGTGAGTGAAGCTGCAGCATAAGCTCCTCACTGGGGGGCAACTCTTTACTTGCAGAGATAAGAATATGGAATAATATTCCCGTTCCTCCTTTGGACACAAATACCCCCACCCTGCGACCTCTTCCTAAGACAGAAAAGGAGCAGTAGACAGCGTTAGATGGGATAAAACACCATAGGGTATAGGATTGAAACAACATGACTAAAAGAAGTAACAGAACCGGGGTAAGAAAAGCACATGAAATCATATAAATCACATTATACTCATTTTTTCCACTGTATTTTCTGTCTGGTAACCATCCATTAAGAAGCATTAGGTGATCAGCTCTCAAAAACTGGTCTGCTCATCATTTATTTATATAAAAAAAGGGAAAAAAAAACTGTACTCACCCACAGTCAGCAGCTCACTCAGAATGTACAAAATGTTCAAAGTTGTCTGGACGTCCCTGGAGTTCTGTCAAAGCCACAGACAACACACTTCTTTAACAAATTACAGGTATCACTACTCCGACTTACTGAGATTTGTCTTTTTTCTCTATAAAATATTATAATAATAATACTATTTCCCCACAGGAGGAAGGCTTGAGGGAACAGTTCGACATTGAGGCAAACACTTTTTCACTGTGAGCTGCAGGCTGAATGTGAAGCTTGATTTCAACCAGCCGCAAGGTAGCTCAGCACAGCCTAAAGGCAGGTGCACCTTTAATACTAATCGAGCTGCTCCTCTATCAAACTACACCAAGTGTTAAAGTGTCAAGTTGTAAGCTGTTATGTCCAGTTGTGTTGATGTGTGAGCTGACCTCCAGGGAAGCCAAGATAACCTCCATGCCACTTGAGCCTTTGGACATCACCTCTTTTCCGCTCTTTTCTGCAAAGACATGAATAAATACTGCTATAAATAAATGAGAAATACAGAATCTTTTAGAGCAACAGGTGGGTAAACGGTTGCAGATTGAGGGCTAGTGATCCGAGCAGAGCAGGTTATGTTCACAATCAATCCTGATTTTAAAAGCATGTTTGGACTCAGGCTTTCACTTGCGTTCCACAATAAATTCTGCATCACTGAAGTAATGTTTTACACCACTGCAAATCACGTGTCCATACCATAGGCTATAAAAACAACTCTGATTTTACATACAATCCATGGTCTGGACTGGTTAGCTTAAACTTCCTCTTTCTATCTAGCTGTCCAACTCAGTGTTCAACTCAACTGTACAACTCAATCAACTTTGGTTACATATCCTTCTTTGCCCCCTTTCTTTCTCTCTCTCTTTCACCACCTCCCAACCATACTGTATGCTTGCCCCGTAATTTAAGAGCTGACAGATTTCTGACCTCTTTAAAGAGGCTGCAGTGAGTCCGTCCTGTCCTGTGACAAATGTAAAGTCTCCAGGCAGAAATACAGGACAGATTGTTGGTTAGGGACGCTGAAGACCATCAATCTTTAAAAGTTATCTATTCAAATCAATGTTAGAGTTTATATGTTAGAGTTTTATGGCTTTCAGATTTTCCAGAAATTGATGCAGAAACATTCCCTGATTAAATAAAAAAAGTCTGGCAAGTTGTTGTACTTGGTGTTAATATTACACACTGGAGAGGTGCATGTGACTATCACTGCACCCTGTCACTGATTAAAAACTCATAACAGCCAGTAAACCTGACAACAAATGGTGTAAAGCTGAAATCTGCCATGGTGAAAGATATCCTAACAACGAGCAGGTGAAAGTTAAATCATGGACTAGAAACCCAACCGGCAAGTGTAAAATAACATACATGACCCGGACCCCCTCCCCACACACACAGCCATATATGCACACAGACACACATATGCAAAATATAGAAAATTTCTGCAACAATTCTCACAAACATAAACCTTGAATCATTAAAACACAATAAAGTATGAATAAAAACACTTGAATTAAGTTACAATTATTATACCTTATCTAACAATTATGATTTGCTACAATATGTCAGTGCATCTTACTTCCTACTCAACATATTGAATATTGATTTTGATTATTAATATGATTGTTTAATAAGAATGAATATTCATATTGACTTAAATTAACAAGGAAAGTCGGCCTATTGTTTTTGGTAAAGTATAAATATAGACACTGCCATTTAAATACACATTATATCATCACAGCCATTGATTCATGAAATTGCAAACATGGTAATATGACAAATTATTGTGGGTCCAACCATCATTGTATTCTTTTTGACATTTATATGCAAGATACAATAGCCTCCTAAATTTGTTAACTGACTTGTATCAATTGACATTTTCTTTTTTACTTAAGGACAGACTGATTATGTGAAATGCTTCATATATCATCCTTTATTTTTCTCGATACTCATCATTTTTGTAACAGTTCTGGTCATTTCAGGGCTGACAGCTACCAATAATTAACCCAGACTGTAAAGTTTAAATTGTAGTTTACCTGATCTCATGACCTGAGTCAAATATTTCCAGTCAGACTTTTTCAATATTTGTTCTTCTTTAACTGCCACTGAATATAACTCACCTTAACTGATCAGGGTACCTCAAATATTTTCACCATCATGAACCCTACCTGGTGGGTCAGGGGACACCTCAGGTGGACAGTATCTCCGGGTGTAGCGGTAATCCATTTCATTACAAAAGAGCAAAACTTCTTTGGAGTTTGATTGAAAAAAAAAAAACTAAAATTTTTCAGAAGCCCTGTTTTGATGCCTCTGGAGTCTGACAAAAGCTCAAGGGGAATGACAGTGTCTATGAATCATGACGGAAACTCTGCTGCCCTAGAATAAACTGCTCAACTGGCCAATCCCCGAACTCTCCCACTGTGTACCAACACTGGGCTCAGGGGCAGGACACAGTATACACAGTAATCAGCACCTCCTCTCGCACGCTACCAGGGACTAAATCATCAACTGCTCCAACAGAAAACTGACAACTGCACAGGATAGCTTTCCCTACAGGGGTCCTCTGTTTCCCAGCACCCACCCCCCTACTCCTTATCCCTTTCTCTACTCTGTGGGCAAAAGGAGAGCCTCTATGATATCAAATGATGACAGGAGCTAAAAAATGGTTACCAGAGTGTTTTCTTTTCTTTTTCTTTTTATAATTAAGATGTGACTCTACTTCCACACTCCTTGCAGCCCTCGGCTCTCCTTTCTTCATACCATCCTTCTTCTTTCTCTTGGTATTTTCTGACTGCCACCTAAACTCATACGGCTGAACATGAGACAAGGGTACAGAAAAGTCCGTCCTGAGGTGTATAGTTACTGTGATCAGGGTCACAGACCCCCTAACTAACGTCACACATGGACATTTCAAGTTGTAGCTCCAGGCAGGGTGTGAGGGAGAACAGCTGACATACATATCATGATGGAAAGGGTCACAGACAGAATCGTTTCCACTGTGCCCATCAGTCTCCGGGGATTAACGGGCTTTACAAGTGTCTTTTGAAGTGGGAGGATGCAACAAATTGTGGACGGAGGGAGGAGGAAATCTTTAAAGCAAATCCAAAGCATGCCAGCGGGCTCAAAGTACAAGATGATGATTTGCAGGATTGTGTACTCTTCACACTGAAACCTATCAGGGTAAACTTAGGTGAGCACAGGCCATTTAAAAACAACTGTGAAAAGTGCACTGACCTAAAATTACTGGCAAAGTTAAGGCAAAATCTAAAAATAAGAATCTGAAGTTGGAAGGTTGGCATCTGCACCTGGAAAAGGTAATAGTTCAAGATTTCTGACAGGGCTGCGTCACTAGCCTGCAGTGTTGAATGCCACTCATCTCCCTTCAAAATAGATACTGGTGAGCTATGGTTACAAGTAATATCAGTATTTTATGGACTAAATTAATTATCTTACATAATTTAAAAAAAAAACAGGAACAATTGTCGAGTCCACAAAATGTCCATGAGTTAATAAAAAATACCATCGCAATTTTCGAGAGCCCATAAAAGTCTTGTTTCCAGTTTACAAAAATGTGTGTATCATTCCTTAAAAAAAGCTTGTTCTCATGTTTGAAAAGTTTTATCCAGAAAAAGTTTGTTTTCCTCTTATTCAGAATCTGAAGTTTTTAAGGTATTATTCTTTATTTCTCTTTTTAATAAACTAAATGCCAAAGCATCAGAGCAAGATTTCCTTATATTCCCTCTGTGCAGAGTGGCAGGAAGACACCCTGCTAAGACCCTGAGACACACTCATATTTCAGTGACTGTTCAACACCGATGCTCAACACAAAGCCTCCTTCTTCTGCTGTCAGATCTTCCTCTCTGCTCTCCTTTCAAAACAGGAATCAGATAACTACAGCAGGAGACACTGTATCAATCCATCCACACTCGGACGAGCCCATCTCTGTTTACATAGCACCTGTTCCCAACACATTTTTAATAAATCAACCTACCTGACGTGATATTTTTACATGAGGAATTATTCATACAGCCCAGTTCACGGTTGGTTAAGATAGCATAACACCATAAGCTGTGAAAGATGTTTCAATTTAAGAAATAGCCTCAAGGGATGCCTCTTTAGTCAGCCTCAGCTGGGTAAGAGGATTTCAAGTTTTAAAACAAATAAAACTGGGGTGTGGAGTTGGAAAGAATCAGGCTGTACAAACTTCTGTAGCCCCCTCCTCCTCCTCCTCTGTGTTTGAGGCTATCAGCTCAAGGATACATTATACCCCTTTGAGTGAGCTGTGGCTGAAAAAGGTGCATTGTGGATATTGAAGAACAGGTTTGGAAAACAAAGCCAACCGACCGCATTGAATAATGAGGATCTCCTTCGTTGTGCCAAGTTGTAAATACCTTATCTATCAGTCTCACTGAGTTAGTCTGTGGAGGTTAATTCATTAGTGTAAACAGACTAGCCATGCAGATGCAAGTGTAGATTGCACTTATTAATTGAGATGTAGACATTATGGGGGTATAGATGGCTGTATCTGGGCAGTGGACCTCTAGTTGAATACCATGTTTAAGTCCACAAAATAGCCTATAGCCAGTAGCTGATGTCCCGTATAGTCAACAGGGGGGCATGGTACCTAGAGTCACTCTGTGTGCTTGTGTATCAGTGAAATATCATCCACATTATGTTTACATCTGCCAACCTGACCCTGCAAAGTTCTGATGTGCAGATATGTATGTGCTCTCACCTTGAGTCTGTATGAGATGAAGTATCTTTGCTGTGACCTGTCTTGCTGTGTCAATGTCCCTCCCCATGGCCTCTCCATTCATCCTCTCCAGTTGGCCTAGGAGCATCAGTACCCTGGAGTTACTGGGAACACTGGAAACACACACATTTTTATCGTTAGGAAGTACCTGTTTAATCCGATTGTTTTGTAGGGCTTTACAGAAAACATATTAAAGAGTTCAAGAACACTGGCGCCCATCTGTAAAGAGAAAAGGCTGGTATAAACACCACACACAGTATCATGAGTCATAATTCTGTGTTTACAAATTCTGTTTGCAAGCACTGTAGGTTGGAGTACATCCAGGTTTCCTACTCCGTGTGTTTTTTTTTTTTAGATTACAAGAGAAAGACTGATCAGTTCTCTCACACAAGTGTGTCAAACGGAGGCTGTGTAAAGCAGGACAAGAGGACAACTCAGCGTATCCACTCTCATGCTGACAAATGCCCACAATGACTCATCTATATTTAACCCAAGATTAAACTCACAACCAAGTAAAATATCATTTTCGTATAATAGTAAAGTGCTGTCTGGCAACATTCCTGCGCATCTCCAAAAATAGAGGATGGTAGAAAATTTTGATATTATCCATCAGTTACCTAGGAAAGTCAAATTTTATATCTTGTGGACCGACTCATTCACTGTTAACTTTCATGTTTCCAGCATTTTTCCTGATCAAATTTGGATAATTATGGTCTACAGCTAAAAAAATTGACCTCAAATCACTAGAATGTTTAATTCCAAAGTTTAAAAGAATATTTTTGGGTTATGAAAGAAAAAGACCTTTTTCATGTTACTCAGTTTATTTGAGATGCCTTGGTGAATTGAACCGAACAAGCACCGGGTAATTGTATGTGCACATCAGGCTTGCACAAAACAAAAAAATATCTCAAGAGTGATTTGATAGTTCTATATATATATATATATATATCAGTGACAATATAAAGTGTAACATACCTTATAAACTGTAATTAAGAGTGCATACTACAAGCTAAACTTCCAGTATCTTAGTCTGTCTGCTGTTCTTGATGGTTTAAGAGCATGCCCATATACACACTGGCCTGGATTCAACAGGTCAAATGTTTCCATGCTGAGTGAGGAGCTAATGCTTGTTTGATGAAACTTATTTTTCCTACTTCATGCTAAATTCAGAATGAAGAGTTGCGTTTCCAGCAAATGCTCCCATTGTGATAACAATGAAAATGCAATTAAAGGATGCACATACTCAGGTCAGTGTAGCTCCACTAAATCTATTGGAAAACATTCTCTTTCATTTCTATTTAATTCATTGTCTCTAAACTTGATTAATGGTTCTGCCTCTTAGAGCTGCACTATTTCTGAGATGGCGACCCATCCCCCAATTTTAACCTTAGCCCGGCACAGCTCAACTGGAAACACAAGGTCAGAGGTCAGTTGTTGGTACAGCAACTGCAGGCATGGGAGGGAAGAATCAAAAGTCTGTGATTGTACCCAGTAGAGCGGGGTTTCTGATATGTCCTTATAAAGACACAGAGAGCAAAGATGTAGGGAAAGACAGAGAGAGAATGTGTGCGTGTGTGCTTCAGACAAAAAAAAGGGAAAAAGAGCTTTAGTGTATTGCAAGTATGGACACAGGAAAACACTGAGGAGGAAATAAAGCTTTGATAAATAGACTGCATAAGTCTCATAGATGAATACAGATTAGTTTGCAGGGATGAAATAATAAATATACATTCCTGATAAGGACTTAAATAGAACAGAATTTTCCTGTCCTGTTTCCCCTCCTCCGATGATGATGAGGATGATGTGGTTATTTTAGAGTCATCATTACAACCACATGCAAAAGGTTCATGCTAGGACAACCAAATATCTAACGTGGTGCCACCTTTCAGACACCCACAGTTTGACAAGTGAGGCTAATGGTGTAGAGACAGCTGAAAGGTAGAAAAGCATTTCAGAGATCAATACCAGAGATATCAGAGATACATGCTGCCTTTTCAGAAGGAAAAGATAGTATTTGTGAAAGAAGAAAAAAGCTTTTACTCATAATCACATGCACACATATCGCAGCCTGTATGTGTGTCTGTGTATGGATTTGAAATTGCATTTTTTTTGTCTTTAATTAGAAACTCACCCCTTCTCCGTAGCCATTTTGGGTTTGTTCATTTTCACCAGATCAACATTTCATCTCATCTGAAAAAAGGGGGGAAAAAAAGGCAATGATGAAGAAAGAAAGGATGATCAACCTTTTCATCTATGTGTCAGTCCTTCCGATGAAACTTCAGGTTCTAGTCTATCCTTTAAAATTCGACAAAAGCAGACAACAGTTCACTAACTCTTTTCTAAATCTGTTTTTCCCTTCATGTGGCATAACTATCTGTAAATGGATGGCTCATATTGACTCGGCACAACTATCAAAAGATATACAGACGCTCTTAACTGATTTTATGCCAAACAGTAGAGGCTGCCCTTCATGCCACAGATCTTAAATTTCAAGACACAAAGGACCTGCAGACTTGGTAATCTGAAGACAGGGTTTAAAAAAAAAAAAAACAATTCCTGACAGTATTCCTGCATATCTCAAAACATCCACCGGCCTAAACTTATTTTGAAAACATGAATTAAACACCAACCAGCAAGAGCACCCTGCCCCAGCAACAGTCTTCATATTGAAATAACATGAGTCATATTGCTGCAGCTGATAAAGCAATCAATCCACAACAGTAGCCTGAAAAACTGTAAAGCTTGAGACTAGAGGAAAGAAAAGGACTCATTTTGAGAGGAAAATTTTGAATATGCCTCATATATGACAGTAACATGGTCATAAACAGTAAAAAAGTAACATATGATACGTTTAGAAATACAAAGAAAAGTGACTCACAATGGATCCATCGACAGATTCAACAAAACCTGGGACTCTCTAATAACTTATGTGAACAATTGACCTGGTCTGGAACTGGAACTTTGAATCATTACATCTACCTAGATTTTAAGGTTGCTTTATTGGTTTTTAAAGCTCTTAATAGCTTTGGCCCTTCTTATCTATCTGATCTTCTTTTACCTTAGGAGCCAGGTCGAGCCCTCAGGTCTTCAGGAAGTTCTCTGTTAACATAACTTAAAGTTAAAACCAAGACATACGGTGAGGCATCTTTTTATTACTACGGCCCCCTTCTATGGAACAGCTTACCTGCACACCTGAGGACTGCACCTAATCTTAATGATTTTAGAAGTACACTGAAAACAAACCTTTTAAGTCTTGCTTTTAACTGATTTTATATTACTAACTTTAAGTGTTTTAGCATTTATCTATTCTTGTTTTAGTCACAGGATCGTCTTTTATTGAGCTATTTTGGTGCTCTTATTTTAGTATCTTTTACTGTTGTTTTTATTTCATTTTATTTATTATTTCTTAAATTTCATTCTGTTTCTTTGTTTTTAGATTTTAACCTAAACCTCCAGTGTTTCCTTATCTTGAGTTTTAAAATGACGTTTCCTCAGTGCGCACATTCCCCATTCCTGTTTCTACGAATTCAAGCCCTTTTTAAGTTTATGCATTTTAAAACTGTTTCTGTTGCAATTAGATCGGGGTGGGAATGAGGGGTTGGGCTGGGGTAGATTTGGGTATTCTTTGTTTCTTTTATTCCTTTTCCTGTGTAAACACTTTGGGCTACATGTTGTGTATGTAAAGTGCTATATAAATAAAGACTGATTGGTTGATACCCTTGAACAAAATCCGTAATAAGAAGTATCAAGTGCATTTGCTGTTTTTTTTTATATGTGTTTTGTTTTGTCTATTGTTGGGACTGTTTGTTGTAGTTATTTGTAATACAGAGAATACAATTGCTCTATATGTTAACTGAAAATTACAAATAAAGTGTTTTAAAAAGAAAAGAAAAGGGTGACTCAAACTCAGTATCAAGTAAGTTACATGTCAATGTTTGTCCAGTAATATAAAATGTCATGAAAGTGAATAGCTTCAAGTGTTACTAGACAACAACAAAAAAGCCTTCTCTGCCTGGTATTTTCTCATTGATCCAGCCTTTTTAAACCTTGAAGAGTCAGACTGAAAAAGCCTTTCAGCCTCTTAAACGGGCACAGCTAGAAAAATTCATGTGTAAACCTCAGGTCATGCTCTGGTATGTATGGCAGTTGTGGAGCAAAAAATGTTACTTGAAGCCAGACCAGACCTTCAAGAGTGTGCATGTTTATGGTAATCCATTGAAGCTTCCCTCAAGCAAATTGCTAAACAGATCAGATGCAGGGGACAGCTTACAGAGGACGGACCCCGGCCCTTGAGTGGATTGCATGGACAAACAGGAATGACAACATCTAACTGGGAATTATCTCAAGCGTATAAGGCTGTCGGCATGAATCCAAATCCATATGCAATAGTTCGCTGTTTTACTGTAGAGTATGTTTAGTGAGAAGCTGGAGCTAGTGTCCGCTGCACCTGCTGGACTAGTCAGTCATTAACGGCCAACTGTCTGTCTGCGACAGCAGGCTAGCTAACAGAGAATACGCTAGCATTAATGCTAAATACAGAGCATTTCAGCAATCTAAACGAAGCCACTTAGCCGATATTTTTTAAAGAAATTACAGGGAATTTACTAACCTGTATGGAAAGGAACTGTTGCCCCATTCAGGGAGGACCAATTCCTAGTTAAGGCGGACCGCTGCTGTGCCTGACTGTGCGTGTCTGAAACGCCCTGATGATGTTGTGAAGAGAGACCAGCCCAAAACTGTCACAGGAGGCTGTCTGTCAACAACGCGAGACTACATTTCATCTCTGCGTGTTTCAGACATCGCTCTATAAGCTTTTTATTAACCAAGCTACCCTTATCTTTGCCTAAATTTTACTACAAAAACAGATTTTTAACATAACTTGTCGGGAATCTAGTTATAAGCATATCTCTTGGGGCTGTTATTCCATTATGATAAAAAAGAACTACAACTCCCAAAAGGACGTCTGACTGTGACGTTGAATTTATGCGACAGTCGTTACAGTCTATGAAGAGAGCTCTTCTAGCTTTATGGTTGATTCCAAACACTAAGGTATGTGCTTATTTATAACCAATATAACGCTTCTTTCAAATCGAACAGCCTATTAGAGGGACAATATTTAATAATGCAGATTGGAAACATTCACTGTTGGCCTCAACGGCTAAGTAGTAGCTTAGTAGCAGCTACACTAACGCAGGTGAGAGCTAGTTTACATGTCCTATCAGACGCATATTCATACTCTGAATCGGTAAGGTAAATGTTATCTCATCATTTCTTTAATTTGTGGGGGTTTAAGATGTTTTAAAGGAGGAACATTTAGGATTGGTTAAACAGGTGTTAGACTGACTTTTCTCACAGCACAGTTGGTCAATGTCTGTTCAAAATGTAGTCGGTTTGACTGAAAGGTGCACCATCAATGTGATAATTCTTCTGTGCATCAATGAAAGTTGAACAAATCAGTCACGCAGAATGGGTGTTTATTGTCAGAGTACTGTCATGTTTCTTGTCTAAATGGCTCAGGATATTGTCTGCACTCAGGCGGGTACTTTACACCTTTTTTGGCTTCACAAGTCAGGTCACAGTGCATGATGTTAATCCTCCCCAGACCATAATAAACCCTCTGCCAGTCAACCAAGTGTAAACATTAACATTTACAGGGTCGTCCAATCAATGAGAAAGCTTTTGTAGATTGAAGAACAAAGATAGATGAGAAAATAGTAGTTTGAGATTATTATTCTGTTAACCTACTTATCATTGCTGTTCTAAAAAACAACATATGTTACAAAGATGGGGAGATTTTCATGTGCATTTGAGGGCAGACAGAAAAGATTTTTTGTGAGATTCTGCTGTTTTCTGGAGCCAATGTCCTAGTCCTGTTTTATTTGAGTCATCTTTTACTTATGTCTGCTATTTTGCTTCCCTCTTTTCTTACCACATTTATTTCTATATCATAAGCTTTATTGTTTGTGAATGACTTTGTAATGTCTGTTTTTATAAGTGATGCATAAATAAACATTGTTATTATCATTTTGTAGATTGAAGAAAAAACAGATTGTAGTAGTTTGAGATTATTATTCTTTTAACCTACTTACCATTGCTGTTCTAAAAAACAACGTATGTTACAAAGATGGGGAGATTTTCATGAGCATTTGAGGGAAGACAGAAATAAATCCATACTGTTTCCCTTTTTTAAAATAAGATTTTTTGTGAGATTTTGCTGTTTTCATCTTTTCATCATCACATTGCTTTGTCTTTAGTGGTCACCATGGTGATGAAATCAACAGTCGAAGATGATGACGCCGGCTGGGGGTTGGGCATCCCAGAAAAAATGAAGAACAATGCCAACTGGGTCGATATAACACATGAATTTAAGGGTGCATGCAAAGGTACAGGCTCCTTCTTATCTAGTGTGTTAGTCATTGTTATCACACAAAACAAGTTGTCTTATTTCTCCTTTTCTCTCATCCTTGTGCTTTATCTATGTAGAGCTGAACCTTGGGGAGCTGCTCCATGACAAACTGTGAGTAAGACAAAGTCTTTTTGTGGAATCATGCAAACAATTTGACCCTGTGATCCTTTTATTCTTGATGAAAACAAACATTTAAAACACTCCCATCTGTGGTGGTAGGTTTGGCCTGTTTGAGGCCATGTCAGCCATAGAGATGATGGATCCAAAGATGGATGCAGGGATGATCGGAAACCAAGTCAACAGAAAAGTTCTCAACTTTGAGCAAGCTATCAAGGTACAGTGCTGCTGACCTCTGACCAGTTAAACAATAAACTGGGATAAGACCAGAATTTCCCCAATTGTTAGGTGTTTATCCAAAACTTGTGACTGGTAGCCTAGATTTTTTTTTTTTTTTTCCACAGTATAGGGTAAAATGACGCACCTTGTTCCTGATTATATTGTGTTACTTCCATATGTTCAATGTAGGAGGGTGCCATTAAAGTAAAAGATCTTAGTCTTCCTGAACTCATCGGGATCATTGACACATGTTTCTGCTGTTTGGTGAGTTTCACTTTCTCATATTGTGAACTGTGTGAGTTTTCAAGAAAAGTTATTGTGTCTTCTATCCAGCCACTGTTTTTCATGGCTTTTACTACTTATTATTTTATTCAGTTCTGTTTTAGTTGAGTCATCTTTTACAAGTGCCATATAAATAAACATTAATATTATCATTTTTTTAGTTACTCTCATCCACATGCTTGTTCGAGGTCATTTGAAATCGCTGCTCTTTGAGAATAAGAGAAAAAAAAAACAGAAAAGACTCTTTGTAAGACACATTTTTTTTCTTAATTTGATTTTTACCACAGAAAGACTCTTTCTGGGCTGGCAGAAAAAAAAATCATCAAAAGTTGTTATCTTTAAGATGTCTTGACATGTTTTAAGGCCCCTTGAAATGTAGAAGAAGAATTTTTTGAGAAATCCAGCAGTCCTCAGATGTTCATGTTTTTTGTGTGTGTGTGTTTGCATTTATAGATCACATGGCTAGAAGGCCACTCCCTGGCACAGACTGTGTTCACCTGTCTGTATGTCCATAACCCGGACCTGATAGAGGAGCCCGCCCTCAAAGCCTTCGCTCTTGGCATTCTGAAGGTGTGCGACATCGCTCGGGAGAAAGTCAACAAAGCTGCTGTGTTTGAGGAGGTAAGCGACTCTTGAAGGTCTGTCTGTTTATGTCTGAAAATGTATGACTCAGCACTAATTAAATATTAAAAGTTTTAAAATATTTTTATGTGAATATCCTTGTGGCAATATCTGAGTTATTTCCAAGGCTATTGAATCATTGATCATGCTGCTCAGTCTTAAGGAAACGTGACAAATTCATTTTTCATTTAAATATTGTGTCTTCAGTGTTGTATTTCAGCTTTATTATCTGCTTCATTTTGTCTGTAGGAGGACTTTCAGGCCATGACCTATGGCTTCAAAATGGCCAATAATGTCACAGACCTGCGTGTGACAGGTACTAACACCCTCTATGACAATACTTCATTTCAAGTTCATTAGGCCCTTAATTTTGATGGAAGGCTGGGGCCGTTACAGATCATTGTAGAGAATACAGTCGAGCAAGAGGACTTGATGTCATCTCTCTGCCGTTTGTTCTTTCTGTTAGGTATGCTGAAGGATGTGGAGGATGAGTTGCAGAGGAAAGTAAAGGTATTTGTTCTTGGCCATAGTCTTTGTCTTTTCAATCAATGTTTTTGATACAAATTTTGAGCATTATGTTGTTTAATGGTGTCCCTCCTTCCTGACACCTCAGAGCACTCGCAGTCGACAAGGTGAGCAGCGAAACCCGGAGGTCGAGCTGGAGGTAAGTCTGGTCATCCCTTTGTATTTGTGAAATTTCTGTTTTTACAGAAAAGTTTTTAAAAGGGGAATGGTTCTGAAGTAGCACTTAGAACATCGCAGGAAAATTACAATTTTCCTTTGATAACGCCACAAAATGCAGATAGAGTAGTGACACAGCTCTTGTGAAGCCTATACCCAACATTTCAGCCAGAAACTAATCTTTGAACTGTCTTTCCTTCTGTGCCCATTATTTTTGTTTCCCTTCCAATATCTATGATTAGTGTGGGATTTGCAGGACCCCAGGAGACTCTCCTCTGGAATTTCCAGCTGTTACAACAGTCATGATGATAAAGAAGAGAGAAAAGATCAGATCCAAAAATGGACTTGGTCTAAACTTAACCAAAATGTGGCCTTTGTTGTTGCTTAGAGCTTCAAAGACTTGATGTATTGTTAGCTTTGCACATACACATGTGATGATTTTGTGTCCTCATGCTTTATTTCTCCAGCACCAGCAGTATTTGGCACTTTTCAACAGAATCAAGTTTACACGCCTTTTGCTGACTGCACTAATCACCTTTACCAAGAAAGAGGTAAGAGAAAAACACGATAAGACAATAACGGTAAATGATGTCTACAGCAAGAGCAGTGAGGAGTATTATTTAAAGTATCTTTTTCAATTGCATGGACACTTATCATTATATGTATTTTTGTTTTGTTAGTAATGGTTTATGGTGGTATCTGTTCTCAGACAAGTTCGGTGGGAGAGGCCCAGAAGCTTGTAGCTCAGGCAGCTGACCTTTTATCAGCCATTCATTCCAGCATTCAGCACGGCATCCAGTCACAGAATGATACCACCAAAGGAGGTATTGTACACACCACAGGTTTTTGATATCTTGCACAGGATAAGAGTGCTCTATAATTACAGTGTTGGCTGGATTGTCTTTTAATATTTTTTCTTCTGTTTGTACTCTAGACCACCCCATCATGATGGGCTTTGAACCCCTTGTAAATCAAAGACTGCTGCCACCTACCTTTCCCCGCTATGCCAAGATCATCAAGAGGGAGGACATGGTGGCCTACTTTGGGAAACTCATAGAACGGATCAAGACCGTGTGTGATGTGATCAATACCACCAACCTCCATGGCATACTGGTAACGGCATCTGCTCAACACGATAGCAGCTTTTGCTTTTAAATCACATTTATGGACCGCAACCCAGTTTAAAGTGTGGCTGAAGAGCTGTTATTTTATATTACTTAGTACAAATTTATATTTTAAAATTGTTTTTTTTTTTCATCTTTTTAGACATGAATGACAAGTGTGCATTAATCGAGACTATGGTTATCCTGTTTTGTTTTCCTCAGGACTTCTTCTGTGAGTTCAGTGAGCAGTCTCCCTGTGTGCTCTCCAGATCTCTCCTTCAGGTTAACTTCTGCTTATATTTTAAAGGGTCACACTTTTTCTGAGATAAACACGTGTTCCCGAAATGTGTGAAAATCTACTTTGCATTCATGTATCGGTTATTGAAATTTGTAGATATTGTCATTTAATTGTGGTAATAAATATTGATGTTAAAAACTCAGGGTACCAGAGCTAAATATATGTTTTTTCCTCCTTAATGCAGACTACGTTCTTGATCGATAATAAGAAAGTGTTTGGGACCCACTTGATGCAGGACATGATTAAAGACGCTCTGAGATACTTTGTCAGCCCACCTGTGCTCTCTCACAAGTAAGTAAAAACAAATAAAATAGAATGAAGAAACAATAACATTGAAATCATTACAAATTTTCAGGTCCAATAATGTGAGTTGGTTTGGAGCTGCTTCTAGCTGTATGCAAGCATGAGCTCTAGACTCTCTTAAATAATCTTTATGTGTTACCAGCTATTTGACTTGAGCTTTTATGTCTGTTAGAGTGTGTTCTTGTATGTGAATGTCTTCTCTGTTCCAGGTGTTGTCTGTTCAACAACCACCAAGCCAAGGACTACATTGACTCCTTTGTTACGCACTGCTCCAGGGTATGTTACTTTTACTTATGTGTCTGTTATTATGTGTCTGTGTGGTGACTGTTTGAAGATTTTCAGAGATGTTGGACATTGAGTGGAGCTTTGAAAGTATGGATTAGTCGGTCATCAGCCCTGAACATAAATGGTCAATTAGCGAAGTTGTGTAAATTTGTAAGCTCTGTCTTTTCACCCTACAGCCATTCTGTAGTCTGATCCAGATCCATGGACACAACCGAGCCCGGCAGCGAGACAAGTTGGGTCACATTCTTGAAGAGTTTGCCACACTGCAGGATGAGGTGAACTACGGCTGTTTGTACCCTCATTTTAAGCTGAAATAAGAAGGAAAAAAGATGAATGAAATAGACAAATTGTTGTGCTTTCTTGACTTACAATCAACTACGAAATTATTCTTTTGTGTCCTGCAGGCAGAGAAGGTAGATGCCGCCCTTCACAGCCTGTTGATGAAACTCGAGCCTCAGCGACAGCATCTTGCCTGCCTTGGCACCTGGATCCTGTACCACAATCTGAGGATCATGATCCAGTACCTGCTGAGTGGCTTTGAACTGGAGCTCTATAGCATGCATGAGTACTATTACATCTACTGGTGAGAGCACACATGCTTGGTTTGATGCTCACTTTATTAACTGGTTGACACAAACTCAAACTGAAGGCCCACAAAGTAAAACCCAGCTATAATTTGACTTTTATTCATCTTTAAATGAGCATGTCTTTGTTTTTCACTGCAGGTACCTGTCAGAGTTTCTTTACGCATGGTTGATGTCCACTCTGAGCAGGGCTGACTCCTCTCAGATGGCAGAGGAGCGGATTATGGAGGAGCAGCTGAAAGGACGCAGCAGCAAAAAGACGAAGAAGAAGAAAAAAGGTGCACAGATGAGCAGTTATTTGTACACCATGTTAACCAGGAGTTGCACAGAAACAGCATGTTACTGAATATGGGGGTGTTTTCCTCTTGTCCCCGCTTGTCCTTATAATGATACGCTTTGGCTTTCTGTGTAGTTCGCCCACTCAGCAAGGAAATCACTATGAGCCAAGCATACCAGAACATGTGTGCTGGCATGTACAAGGTAGGACACCAGTGCTAATGCAATTTGGACTCCTCTGTACACTGCAGTGTTATCCATCCTTGTTTCCTCTCTCCTCAGACCATGGTAGCTTTGGATATGGACGGAAAGGTGCATAAGCCTCAGTTTGAGTTGGACAGTGAGCAGGTTCGCTATGAGCACCGTTTTGCTCCCTTTAACAGCGTGGTGACCCCTCCACCCGTGCACTACATCCAGTTCAAGGTACTGAAGCAGGTCTTCATTTCTGTATCCTCCTCCCTTCACCTCCAGCCTTCACTTATTTTTATTTCACTTGCTCATATTCCTGTAACTAGATTGTATCATACAGAATTTCTTCTTTTATCTGACGTACATTTTCATTTCCCACCCTTCTTGGGCGAATCTTACCCTCTGCAGGAGATGTCTGATCTGAAGAAGTACAATCCTCCACCAGGCTCTGCGGACCTCTACCTGGCTGCCAGCAAACATTTCCAGCAGGCCAAGCTTATCCTGGAAAATGTGCCCAGCCCAGACCCTGAGGTCAGGAAATTGATATTTAGATAGATAGATAGATAGATAGATAGATAGATAGATAGACAGACAGACAGACAGACAGACAGACAGACAGACAGACAGACAGACAGACAGACAGACAGACAGACAGACACTTAACAAGAACCATAACTTATAAATGGTAAAAAGACCATTTCTAAATGGTAAGCAGATAGTTTATTGATGTTTAATCATCATTTATGAATAGCATATAGACCATAAATAAATTGTAATTACACAGTTTATTTATGTTTCATTATCAATTATAAATGGTAAAAAGATACTTTATTAATGTAAGTTAATAGTTACTTTACTATTCACAAGTTAAAAGCTATTCTAAGTAATGTTTAAAGATGGTTTAAAAACTAAATATTAACCATTTACAAAGTGATACTGACACATATTTTAATCTAGATGTTTTACAACTAATATTTAAACCCTATATAAACCTTTAATAAATAGTCCATCAATAATTAATGAAAATTATTAATAATAATTTCATTGCTTGTAAATGGTCAAGTAACTATTAACTTAGATTAATAAACTGTCTATTTGCCATTTATGAATTATGATTATTTTAAAATGTTACCATAGATAGATAGATAGATAGATAGATAGATAGATAGATTAGTCTCATGTTTTAAGATTTGTTATATTTTGCATTTTTGCATTATATTTCCGTTAATATATTCATATATCAAGAGCATTTAAATGTTTTTTCCAAAGTACAGCAGCCTCCCCCCCAGAGTATTTATTCCACTTTATTGTACTAATCTGAAACAATCTTTTTTGTTTGCACTCTTGCTTTTTTTAATTATGTTGTAACTATTTGATGTTTGGGAACAGGTAAACCGTATACTGAAGGTGGCCAAGCCCAACATAGTGGTCATGAAGCTCTTGGCTGGAGGTCACAAAAAGGAGACAAAGGTAATCCAGAGTATCTACATTGTTTTTATCACCATTAGGTTATATTGTTACAGTTAATCGAAGCATTGAGACTTTGATGTGACTTTGAAACAAAGAAAAATAGTGCATTGTGATTGGCTAATGTTAATGTAGTAACATTTGTAACACAACTAAATATTGTTAAACTTTATTGGAGTGAAACCCCAATTTCTGCCCCTCAAGGTCCTGCCAGAGTTTGACTTCTCAGCTCACAAGTATTTCCCTGTGGTCAAGATTATCTGACCCAGCACTAAGAGTGTCATCACGAAGACTGTCAGCTGCAAAGACCATACCCTCACAGGAACAGGAAGTGTGCAAATGTTCCCCATCCAGTCCATGTCTGGTGTGTTTGTTCGTTTGTGTGACACACCTAACTAAAGTCAAAAAAGAGCTTTTTTTTCTGTCTTAATAAGAGATGATGGGAAACAGTCTTGCAAGTGAACCTGAACAATTGATTTTATTCACATCCGCATTTGTTTGTATGTGTGTTTCTGCATGTGTGTGAAAGTCAGACATGTTAAGGTGCTTTTGTACAAAGAACTGGCCTATGAGATCTTTTATAAGCTGCCTTCAGAGCAAGAACATCTTGAAGTATTTAAAAGTACAGCCGAAACAGAAATAAGTGCATATCATTCAATCATACAAAAACTTTTTATGTATTTATGTGCTTATCTGAATAAAAATGTGTCTGAAAAACTTGTGTCATGTCATGCCTTTTACAACCTTGGATTTCATGTGCCAAGTAAATGTGCGTGTTGCCAAGTCCTTTGCAGCACAGTACAAAAAAAGTTAAGCAGTTGGATAAAAGCATCTGAGTGAAATTGTAAAATGGTTATTTACAAAAGTCACAGGAAAAGAAAGAATGGTGACTTAACTTCCACTACTCTTGTTTACAATTGGGCTGCAAATTCCACTTACATCTCATCTGCATAAAATCAGTCATTGACCCACAGGTGGCGCTATAATATCAAAAGAAGTCCATAAAGAAAAACTCTTATTTCATCCCTGAGAATAGTGGCTGTGACAGCAAAAGCCATGTCTGAGAAATCTGGACCTCCATGAGACCTCAGCAGTGCCACAGACTGATCACCAACATGCCAGGTCACATTGCTGCTGGAACTCATGCAAAGGAAGCCCCAACCAAGTACTGAGAGATATACATGTTCACACTCTTCAGTAGTCCAACATTTTTTGTGTTGAAAATCCTTTTTTTATTGGTTTTCAGTGGTATTCTAATTTATTGAGGTACTGAGTTTGGGGTTTTCATTAGCTGTAAGTTACAATCATCAAATTTAAAAGAAATAAACACTTGAAATAGTCAACTTTTTAATGGTTATCTAATTGATTAAGATGCACCTATATGTGTGTGTGTGTGTGTGTGTGTGTGTGTGTGTGTGTGTGTGTTCGTAGAAAGTCTGAAAGCAGAAAGAGAAGACGTTTTACAACCAATACTTCTACCAACTGTAACATAAGTCTACCTAATTTTGTGCACATGACCCTTCAACTGTAAGAGGACCAGAACATAAGAAGTGTTGAAAGCCTTTTTAGTATCAGACTCCTGAAATTCAAATATTTTGCAAAGAAACAGATTTCACAAGAACTACAAGAGACCACTTTCTTTATTATTGGAAATATAGTTGACAGACAATAGTTGACAATAAAAGTATAGCCTGTAATCCTGATTTTCAAGATATATGTTAAAATCATCTTTTCTGAGGACACATTAATTTCTTTTGTTTGTAAAGGAGGAATATTAATATTTTTGTGATCTCATAATGAACATGAGGATTATTAATCATTGTCTTTTATGGTCTGGTCAATCCACTTTCTGTAGAAGCAAATATCCTGCATTACAATCGGGTTTGCACACTTATCCACAGGGTTGCTGACAATGATCCCATACAGCATACCTTCATACTCCACAGCTGAGCCTGAATCACCCTGCAGGAGAGAAATCAGACTTTAAAAAAAATTTCATCTCATGAACAAAAGTTATGAATACCAGATGAAATACACAACATATAAGATGGAACTGTTTTCTTACATAGCAGGACTTGACACCTTCTTTAAAGGCACACATAGTCAAAGTCTCATCACTGTGGTATTTACTGTCAGGCTTATCTTTCTCACCACATGCAGCCATTACTGTGTTCGCGCACATCAACTTTTTGGCGGGTTTGTTTTCTGTGGAGTTATGAAAACAGCATTAGAAAGTGACTGCTAATTTGACTAATCAATCTGGTATCTGCATGAATGAACTGCTCACTTGAAGGGTCTGTGGATCCCCAGCCTCCAACCTGAACCTGCGTATTCTCTTGTGGTCTGGTACACTCAACAGGAGGAAGAACCGCCTTTGGAAGCTTTTCAGATGCCTCTTTAGTCAGTTTTATGAGCATTATGTCATGGGGATTCCCTTCTTCGTCTTTATATGGGAATTGTTGTTTCACTTCAATTGTTTGTTTGTCGCTTTTAAAAAATTCTTTTGAGAAAAATGATGCATCATAATTGGCGCCAAGCGTCACTTCCAAACTCCTAAAAAAAAAAGAGGACAAGAGATTTCAACAAAAAGACCTTCAAATCTATACAACTAATTGCAATTGCATTGTATCCACCCTTTATCATAGCTACATTTTAGCACCAGCCATTTTCCATCATTATTTCATGGTTTATATTTTAAATTAATTACATCAGAACCGCATCATGTAGGTCAAGGTCTGCAAGTGTCTTACTGTTCTCCACAGTGAGCAGCAGTGAGGACCCAGTGGGGTTTGATCAGAGAGCCCCCACAGGTAGTCTTCTTTTGGACAGACTTGATCTTTACATGGTACTGCCGCAACTTTTTGCATTTTTCACCCTTAAGAATCCTCTTCTCAATGGTACCCAACGCAACATCTCACAGATAGAAGACAAAAGTGAAGTTAGGGACGTTCAGGTAAATATTCAGTCCTTTATCTGTTACATGCTCACTCCTTAAATTTACCTAGAGAATAATGAACTGCGGGAGACAAATTCAAATAAGCCAAAGTAACATTCCCACTCACCAGCAAACACCAAAATGAAGACAAAGCAGAGCTTTATGGTTGTCATGCTGAACACTTCAAGTGGTTGACTCCTCGATGGCTTGCCCTTTTTGTAGATCCGATTCCTCTTTTTAACTGGCTACCACTCTGGGCACTAAATTGTGTCACAATGCCATAGGATGTCGTCAGCTAACTCTCTCAGGTCAATCACAAAAAAAGAGCAAGCAGCAGGTGGAGACAGCAATAAAAAATTTCCATTTAACAGCAGCATGTTAACTTCCATGTAACAACATAAAAAAGCCATAATGACTCAAAAATATGACCTGATATTCAAGAGAAACAAAACATAAAAACTGACTGGAGTCACAACACTGTTTTAGGTTTAGTTTTCAATTTTGTGTTTTCACAGTTATTGATATCTTGGCTTGGCCTATGCAATGTTTTGTGATAATAACATGACAAATAACATCAAGTCAACATGTTTTTTATTAAATTGCTTATAAGAACACAACAAAGACTATAAGTTCCTCACCTCTTGACAACATACACCCAGTAGTTTATGTACTTCTGCTCACACTCAGCACATGCACACAGGATCTTTGCAGATCATTTTCAAATGTTTCTACTTCTAAAAACTATAGTTGACGATAATTATGTCTCCACTATTTGGTAGATCTTTCCTTTTCTTAAACCCAGAGCTTATAACACAAATTTATGCATATTTCTCTACAATTTGCACTCATGAAAAACCAGTCTGTTCAAATTCTGCTTCTTTGAAAGAACATCTTTAACCATCAAGAAAGCTTTTAATGCCCTAAAGTCTATCCCCCTTAGAGGTTAGACTCAAGAGGTCAGAAAACATTGAACAGAATTTCTTTGTGCTTCTAAGAGTCCTTCACAAGGGAAACCACAGTATTTGAATATTTCGTTGCATTATCAACTTAAACAGTTCATGTGACAAGTGATAGACACACAAATGTGCTCATGTCATGCATGTACTCATGACATGTCTCTAATGCAAATTTTCATTTGTATGCGGATGATACAGTCATTTACTGCTCTGCTCAAACACTTTAACAGGCTCTTTGGCCCTTACAAGATGCTTTTGACAAAATACCTTTCATGGGTTGAAAATGATCTTAAATCCTGAGACAACTAAACTCATGTTTACAAACTCAAAGACAAAGCCACTGAACCTGCCATCGATTACCACTACATCTCAAGGTCATATGATTGAGTCTGTATGCTCTTGATGATGACTCTTTGTCTTTTAAGCCTCATATACAGAAACCTGTAAAGAAGTTGAAGCTGCAGCTAGACCTCTATTTCAGTAAGAGGTCCTGTTTTTCTTTTGCTGCAGAGAAAAGGCTTGTTGTGGCTACATTTATACCCCTGATGGACAGTGGTAATATTTTGAATATGCATGCATTAATTCAAAGCCTTCACTCCCTAAATAATTTATCCTGGAGCTCTGGGGTCCATTGGAAATTTGAAGTCTCTTACTCACCATTGTCTGTACGATCATGTTGTCTAGCCTGCATTGTCTACAATAAATCTCTAGCATATCCTTATTTACCCGATAATTATTTACTTGCTCTCCTTCTTTATGTATATGTAATGTAATGCATTTGAAAAATGTTGAAAGCTATAGTCTTCACTCTGTGATCCAGGACCAGGACTTACTTTGGCTGTCTGTCCCCACAGTGTGGGCACAAATACATGGGTATATCTTGATCAAAAGTGCATGTATAAGTAAAGGTTAAATATATTTAGACTTTTAAGTATACTTCTTAGTACAAGACAAGTATACTTACCAACAACTTTGTTAAGTATACCTCTGAAAAGTCCATAAAAAGTAAACTGAAGGCATACTTAGTTTAAAAAGTGTATACTTGAAGTGAACTTCAACATACTTCTTGTTGGTTAGGGTGTCCAGGAAACTCTTGTATGAGAAATTTTTTATCTCAATGAGGTTTTCCTGGTTGAATAAATTAAATAGATAAAAATGAAACAAATGATAACCATAACCATTTGGCTTGATCCTGTTTCTTATTTGCTTACTTGTACAAATATATCTTAAAACAATAAAAGCGTTTGTAGTGACTGTGACGTTTTGAAGGCTTGTGTAAATTTTTGGGTGAGCTTTTGAATCATTGCTTGTTACTCAATGTTCTGTGTGTTCTAAGGAAAACTGTCAGCCCAACATGAGACATAAGTAGGTTCTTGTCCAAGGAAAAAGGTTTAAAAGTGGCAACTGCAATTAGCCTCAGTCTATACATCTTATTTTCACATTTTTTTTAGGCTTTATAATTCTTCCACAAAAGGTATTTTACAGTAAACAATAAACTCCACATTGAAGCAGGTCTTGATAGTGGTAATAAAAACACATTTTTTATTATCCGTCATCAATGAAGCCTATGATTATTTGATCTTTTCACAAATTAATTCAGCAGTTCTAATAAAATACAAACACATGTAATCAACAGAAAAATAAATCAAATTTATATAAAAAATTCTCAACAGTTACACCAAAAATTGTACACAAATAGACAGCTGAAGCTCTCTGACGAACAAGAAGCAGAATTTGTTCAAACTTTTCATCATCAGAACCAACCAATCAGCCACAGCACTGGAAATAAAATTACATTGAACGGAAAGAAAGTCTCAAAAACATTTTCCTCACGATGAACCAAAGGAAACAAGATTGTTTTTCATACAGGCATCCAGAGGTGTTGTTTAAAACTGTAACAGCCCCTTTTTAAAATCAAAGAACTATGTGGTCATCAAACCTGCCATGAGCACTCATATTCTTCATGTGTTTTTTTATTTAAGACCAGGTCTGCATGGAAAAAAAATAAGTTAAGAAATAGATGAGCTCAGACTGTGAGCCTGTTGTTGAAATCGGAGCTGATCAAGTCAGCCCCTACAGAGACTTTGAATTTAAGTCTAAAAAACACATATGGTCAAGCATTAGCAAAAACACACTCAAACTTTTTTTCCTCAAAGTTCCAATGCAAAAAAAAATTTGCCCATATTACGTAAAAACATATGGAGTGTACTACATCGTCTTGTCTGACCCATGGTTAAAGTCAAAAATATCCATTTGTTTTTATAGTTTACTTGCTTTATGCACAGTGATGTCTTTGCTGGAATGAAATAAGAACCTTTACATGAACCTGGCAGGTGTACACCATGTAACTCCATCACTGAAGCTCAAATAGGAAAATCATTGAAGTCCATACAGATAATTACTTCACATGGTTAATTTTCACACTGTTTTCAGTTGATGGCAAATCAGCTGTATAGATTTATAGATTAAAACAAAACAAACTAAAAAATCTGTCAAATAACACTAAACATACATACATATAACAGATTGCCTGTGAATTAAAATAAATCATCTGTCCTGTACATAAAATACAAGGCAACTACAAATCCTGCCACAAAATTAAACCAACTGTTTGTTTCTATTGATCCCTAAAACTAGTTAAGGTCTGCACTTCCCCGCACAGTGCCAGTCTAGTGCAGCTTTAAGTAGAACAAAGAGGACAAATTCATACATTTTAGCACATCACATGAACTAGATTGGCAGAGGCCTTAAAGCACAGCACACTGCTCTTGCTTTAAGGAGATGTCCTTCACAAAATTACAGCAACTCCCAGACTCTCTCGCTCTGCCTTTTGCACAATATATGCTGCCAACTGAATGTAGTAGAACAGAAACAGTATCTAAAAAGAGATTTCACAAAAACTCTGGAGAGATGAACAATCAGTAAACATGTAATAAGACTGTACATCTGACCTTCACTGAGAAGTAACTAACAGCAGAGAAAACTGGTGCATACCAAACTTCCAAAGCATGCTTTAAAAAGAGACAAATGTTTAACCATAGATATAATCTCTGTGTGCCAAACTCTCATCTTCGCCAATCCTCTTTAAATGATCCGCTGCAGTAATGATCAGCTGTATAAAGCCGATGCTTTGAACGGCTGAGAATCAACGTTTTGCTGCCACTAAAATATTACAGAGACAAATAAAGGGATTGGCATAGGATAAACTATATTAGCATTACTTGGAAATGATAATATAGTTTGTACATAATCTGTTAAAGTTTCATACTTGATTTGCCTCCAAGGTTAGCCTGCCAGTTTGACTTTTTCTTTTCATGTTATCTAGCGTGCATGCAAAGTTGCTGTTTCTGTTTTCTCCAATGATTTGCTTTAACATCAAAATGACACAAATGCACTAAACGATCTAACTACAATTTTAGCACACTTGCTTAATTTGCTGCTAATTTGGAAATCTTTTTATGTACACTGACAGACATTTTAGAAAGAAAAAACATCCCAGCCACCGACCCACACTTATTGTCTTTTCATGAGAGATCTGTACAGGAATAACTCAAGGTATCTACTGAAATGCTTTAGAACCTGTGAAAGAATGAGGCCTGTGCTGCAGCCATCATAGTCCTTCAAGGGTCGGCACATCCCCATCATGAACTAACACAGTCAATACAGAATAAACAGAAATCTAATCCCAAGACCTAAACCAATTCATAACTAAATGCTGAGATGTTGAATGTTTGGTTTCAAGTAAGTTGGTGTCAGGTCTTGATGAAGTTGTGTCCATCATTTCAGGAGAGAACAAAGAAATGAGTCTGTGTTTTCAAAGTACATTTACATCTTTTTGTAGATCTTTCAGAATGTTAAGAAATGTATTTCAAGTCGTTACTACTCTAACCTTAATATCCCAAATTAAATTCTTTCAAATAGATGCCAAATCAATAGTGCAAAATGCAATTAAGATGAAAAATGAGAGGACGTTCCAGGATACAAATGCAAATGAAATAAACAACCCATACCAAAATGTCAGGAGCCTTCATAGCGTAAATATTCATCTGTGTTTCTTAGGTGTCTGCTGAGTTTGGAGGGTTGCATTAACCTGTTAGTACGCTGAGATGAACAATCGGTTCTGCTTTCAAATTGTGAGGTGTTCAGGCACCTTCTCCAACTCCAGCCCTGCAAGAGAGTTTCAGCACAATCTTAACATGTTAAAAAAAAAAGATTACAATGCTTTCACTTGACACAATACATGAAGAAAGAGAAAGTGAGTGAGAGTGTGTGTGTGTGTGTGTGTGCGCAGACACTGCAATTTTCAGGGTGTACCTTAGACTTGAGCAAGCTCAGCCTGTTTGTCTGCTTCAAACTCGCCTTCATTCTCATCATCACCATTGTAGTCAGCCAATTCCTCCTCCATGTCCTTGTCTGTCAGAGCGCACAATATGGTTATTTTACACAGTTCACTTACAGGTATTGTGCAGTAAAGATCAATCTCTGGGTGTCACACTCTTCACACTTTTCGATAATCTTTTTGGACACACACCTATATTTTCAGCCCGTTTTGCCTGCTGTTGTTTCTCCAAATCATCTTCACCCACGACTTGATCTTCTGTTTCATACTCCTCTTGCTCGTCCAGTTTTTGGCCTGGAGAATCATCTGCCTTCACCTGGCTAAGCAACATGCCTTCCATCCCTGGATCTGATTCTGGAGGAAACGTTCAATTAATTTTTCAACTTTATCATTAAGAATGTGCAGAACAGTTTAGCATGAAGTGTTTTTTTTTTATAGTTTCTGACAGATGAAAATGGAGTTCTTTTTACCCTCTGTCTGTGCAGGGCCCTCTTCATGAGCATCCATCACTTCCATGTCTTTATCCTCTGTCAAGTTATTCTTCAGAAGTTTACTGGTCCCTGCCTCACCCCCCTCTGTTGTAACAGCCCCCTCTGGTGGTGACAAAATGTCCTGCTTGTCTGCAGTCACTGAGGGTACCGTAACGTCCTTTGCTGGGGCCAGGTCAAGTGGAGAATCTGGACCTGTGAAGTTGCACAACACAAAAATACATGAAAGTGTGCACACAGTTATGTGGCAATAGGTACATAGATGCATGCATGTTATTTATACGCATGCATTAACATTATGTAAAACTGAGCCACTGAGCCATCTGCGTATATTACCATTTTCCACCACGATCTCATTGGTTAGGAGTTCAGCTGGTTCCTTTGCTTTGGGCTGAGAGAGGGTTGGTGTATGGCTTACAACAGTTGATGTCTTAACTGCATCAGACCCAGTCTGGACCGCTCCATCCACTGCGTTTTCCTGTTGTAGGGGAAATATCAACAAAACCTCTTATTCAAAGTAAAAAAAAGCAGTGGAGCATCATTGCAAAAGAAGCCTCAAAGCCAGCCAAGAAATAAAGATCTATTCATTTTATACAAAAGAGGATGCAGGAACTAGTCCTTTTATAAGCCGCTGTTTTTCCCTTGTACTTATCTCATCATCTAAATGACTGAAATATAAACTCTGTGGATGACTATTACTGACAATATTTTCTGTACATTATATAGCAGAACTTCATTCATTTGAAGAAATCCCCGACTTGTGAATTTTTTATGCCTTCATATTGAAGAAATTAAGAAAGCATTCACTCAACATACTCTTTCTTTGTGTCTACGGTCTGCATTTGAGCTTAAAAATGGACTAAGTACTCTTTGATTAAACCAACTATCCTGCTAAAAATCTGACAATGTCATAAATATCTATTCGCCAGAGAGCTTATATTTTGCACTGATCTAAAATCCGATGGAATTTGTTTTCCAAGTAACCTGGAGCACTTCAAACTTCTGGGAAAGCCCACAAACACATATTAGTTCTATGGCGCTGTGCGAGGGTAAAGGATGAATATGAACCAAGGATTAGAAGTGGGTCCGACTTTAAAAAGCTGATGTTGTTTGAGTTTACAAAACAAGCTGGTCTGCTCTGGCTCTTTTCTCCAATCCTATTACAATATACCTGTTTTTAGCATAACATCTTTTTTTTTATTTGGTGTAGAGTTACGGTCATTATCAGTATATTGTGGCAGTCTGAATTTACACCCTTCGGCTTTGTAGATCCCCACACAAAAAGGGCAACTCACAGGTGAGACACCTGGAGCAGCAATGAGCTTCTCCATTTTCTTCTGAACTTCAAGTTTGGCTGCTGCCACTCTCTCATCACACAGCTCCTTCTGGGACAGGACCTGGGAGTTACAGTGGGTCCTACACATGTACACATACATAAATAAAAACATAAAATGCTATAATATATCTAAAATGCAAGACATAAAATGCAAGATTCAACTTGATTTCGAGTTGAATAGACGTGTCAAATTTAACTGTAGGGGGTAGTTAATCGTTGCCTTACATGTCATATGTGAGTTTGTTGTTGAGGGTTTTGATGTTCCCTTGGCAACTCTGCAGCTCCTTCTGAAGCTTCACCAGATCATCATTCAGCTGATTCAACTGACCTACAGTACAGACATACATACACAAGACATCAAATGCCATGAATTATCAGTAAAAATGTTTCTGCAGTAAGACATTAAGTTAGATTTCTAATACATACCTTTGAGTTCTTGAAGGGTTTTGGTGCTGGAGGTTATGTTCTGCTGCAGTACCCCCTGACAAAAACAAGCACAAACACAGCAAATAAATGCAGTAGCTTTACAGTTGGCATGTTACAATGTTGCGATGTCATATTTCCCATGATGCCATGGGAGTTTATTATGAACTGCAATGCAGACTTGGACATGTAAAAGCGACCAGTGGTGTCTGTGTGCACCTTCTCTTGACTGCAGGTGTTCTGGGCTCCTTCCAGCTGTCTCTTGTAAAGACTTTCTATGTGGCTGATCTGATCCTTCTGTCTCTGGATTTCTTCTTGGAACTCATTCTTCTTCAGCTCTGCAACTCCTCGTTCTGCTGCACCTCGTCGCACCTGGCCTTCTAGCTCATACAGCTTGGTCTGTATCACACAAAGAAAAGAGTTCAAAGTCAGTTCAAAACAATATTTGCAATATTTATCAGATCAGTGCATCCCTAAAAGCATAAATAGCTTAACCCACCTGTAGCTCTAGGTTGCGGGAGCTTGACACCCAGTAGTTAAAGCCCAGAACCAGGATGCAGGCAATCAGAGCGCCAATCATCAGAGGAGGTGATCTTCCTCCACGACGACCATTTCCCAGTCCTCCCATAGCTATCACCAAACTGGATACACAGGTTAGTTAGGGTCAGCAAACTTGTACTCTTTCTGTTAATACATGAGCAAAAGAAATCTAGCCCTTTCTGTATGTGAACCATGGTTTCTTCTTTTTGTTGCTTTCCTAACCCCTTCACCCATGTGCTTCTAACCTTCACAGACCTCATGAATTGATGCCCATCTCCTAAATATTTGGTCACATGATCAATTTCTTTAACTATTTCCAAGCAACAGGGGGTGGCTCAACTTACCCCACTCTCCCCTACCATACAACCAATAGTTGCTACTTCCCTGCCCTGTTTGAGTATCTTTCGTCGAGCAAATAAATGTAACCTACGTCTTTATTTACTTAAGGTAGATTTCACACAGTCAAAAACATACATATGAGAAAACATAGGCTATCATATAGGCTACCAAGCAAGAGATCAATGCAGTAATTGATGACGACACAGCGCGAGTCCTGCTACAGCAAAGGGAGGTTTAAGGAAGTCATCCGTGGTCCAACAAAATAAACAAGCTATACAAAGATAACACAATCTGACGATAAAAGTGTCAACACTGGAAACCTCAAGTAGATAAGCGATATCATGACTGTCTATTGTTTTGTTTTGTTTTTCAGATCCAACTGTTAACCAAAAGGAAACCTGAACCCAAAGACCAAATCCAGGTCAAGAATGAGCTATAGTACTACAAACGTCAATAGACGCCACGTCGATTTAAAGTGTGAACTGTCATTGATAAAACGCCCTCAATGACTGTAAAACAAATAACACTGGACGAATTTTCCTCCAAAGGCATCTAGAGTTGTCCCTGTGTACCATGAATGCTAACACTAGCGTTCCCAGCTAGCAGTGCAGCTTGTCCCCAGTTGCCGTTAGCTTTCTGTTAATAGTTAGCTAGCCAACGCTAACAGACTGACCATCTACTTACCCCTAACTTACGCAGGAATCAAGCGTTGTTCCAGGTCAACCTAATAATAAACGGTGTGATATTGATACTTGACAATGGCACGTTTGTTGCGCTGGTAAGGTCGCCTATACAGTGTCCATTCTGCCCATACAAACAGCCTGTTGGGTCCTGTGTTCGGGACAGTAAAACGATGCCTCTGGTTGCCGTGGGAAAATATGGGATTTTGGTAAAACGATCGTTACAAACGTTTAGATCAATATCACATTAATCGTTTTTAAAAGCCTTTCTACATGACCAGATTTTGAAGCGAAATAAAAGATGTGCGTTCGCCGATATTGTGTCAAACGGAACATTTGATTCCTGATTTTTAATAAACTGTATTAAAGGGTTAGATTGTAGAGTATACGAAGACCGAGCAGCATTGAAGGCATCACGGGTAACCGCTACCGTTTTTGTTTTGCTTGGCAATGCTTGGTATCCTCCTAACCGACTCAACAGAGCCATCATTCTTACATGCAGTACATTTATAAAATATTATCAAACAGCAGTTTTTGATCAAAAATTGATACAGAATTGTTGATATGGTCATATTTTAATGCATTTCCACGGAAGTCACACATAAAAAATACATGCGCAGTCTTAAAAATGGATTATCCACACTCCAAAGACCAAAGACATCTTCCCTTTGGATATATGAAAGTGTTTTCATTCTGCTTCAAATGGTAATGCTAAATCATTCAAATTTTAAACAGACAAAAATGTACACCATTTGGCCCTTCACACTGGTTAAGGCCTTTTGACTGTTAAAACCCGTTTACAGCCTCATCCAAATCCCCTGAGATACAGTTCAAAATGCACAGTATTCACCGAGAGCTTTGATTTTACTTTTAACAGTTTAATGATAGCAAATACAGGGATCACTTACATTGTGCTTCCTATTATTTACCTGAGACACTGGATACACAACTTTGAAGATGCAATTTCAATCCCTTAAATTTGTTCCCTGCTGTTTTGCTTTCCCTCTATTCTCTAAATCAAACATCATCGAAGATTCTTGTTTGAGATGGTGACATGGACAGATAACGCCCTCCTGTTGACCTACAAAGTAAAAGACAGAGACATTATTAGAAGGCTAGTTAAGAAAGTCAGCTCAAATTATCCTGTTTGCATTTGTTTTATTTTGCACCACTGAAAAAATGACATTTTTATTTCATTTTAGTTATATATTTATTTGTTTTTGATTAACAACACACCTTCTGTTTGGCGAATCTTCATCACTGGAGTTATCTTGTAATAAGCCTCTCTGCTGCTCCTCTGTCTCCATATCTCTTCCAGTAAATGTGACGGCTAAGACAGACAAAAAGCAATTTGGTCATAAGGTTAACATTTCTTTTCAATCTTCTGGTATTAAACTCTCTGTAAAATAAAATAAATCCTTTTCCCATAAATTATAAATGAAAATTGCACGAGAGTGTGAAGTGAAACAAAAAGATACCTAGGTCAATTTTATCAGTGAAGGCAAATTTGATAGATTTTTTGAGTACAGAACAACTGAATGGTTCCTCCCAAAAATTCCTTTGCAGAATAGGTGTAGACATTTGCCCATGCATGCATGAAAACTTGCTTTAGCTTTAGTCCTTTTCACTGTGTAATTTAAGAAAACAATCCAAGCACAAAGAAGCAATGAGAGAGGCAACAAAACCTGAACTTAGGCACTATCAAGCCTCTACATGTAACAGGAACCTTGTTGCTAAAATAGCTGATTTTTTGTTTCTTGCGAGGGACAGCGGTCTCCCTTTTTGAATGATACAAAGCATTCCTCAAAGGCCTTGTGAGAACAGTCTTCTCATATCACAGAAAATATTTCATTTCATCAGGATAGTAGCTGTCTTTAATTCATACCACTTTTCTTGCTGTGTGTGACGGGACTGCTCTGGCTGTTATCCTTGATCTCGGTGTAACCAGCTTTGGTCCGCCCAGGAATCCCTTTGACTCCATACTGCTCCCTCCAGGCCTGAAACAGAGAAAGAGCCATAAATACTTTAACACAGTCACTCAAATTAGTAGGAATGGAGAGACAACAGATTGGCTTCAAAGTAAATTTTGGGGTGAAATGATTTGATTGGATAAATAATCCTGACCCATCTCCGGTTTTCTCCAGTTTGGGTTTTCTGTCTCTTCCTTCTCTCTGCAAGAGAAAGATAATAGTGCAGATTGTTAGAAAGCGTGTGAAACCACTTTTTCCTAAAGCTAAGTACATGAGTGCACAATCATTTGGCTAATAAAACATAAAATTAACAAAAAACAGACCATAATCAAAGAGACTGATATGTACATTTAAGTGATTTAATATGAATATGTGACCAAACTACCTCTCCTGATAAGTTCCCTTCCTTCATCCACCAGGTCAGAGGTCAAGTCATCGTCAGTGATGTACTGATGGAAGCCTAGGAGGTTCAAACAGCGAGAGCCCAGGCTAGAAACCCAGACAGACAGACAAGAGACAGGTACACACACAAACACAACAAATCCTATTAAAAAATACATTCTTCAATTACTAAATAAAAATATCAATCAAGCCAAAAAAAGATTCCCAAATTATATTCTTTTGTCTTGGACTTGTGCATGACTGATATGTCATTTAACCAACTAAATCGTATGGTGTACATGAGTTGTCTAAATTGATCATGTCAGAGAGATGCAGGCTAAAAAGGAGTAAATTTGGATTTCAGTAATCATAGACTGGAGAAACCTTGTACTGGGAGAAACTAAAACCGCACTGCAAATCTTAATAGAGATGAAGAACATAGAAATATCCAAGTTTGTGAATGGGGAAATTTATTCAACAGAAAGACTATCTGAAGACTTTAAATGGACCAAACAGTCTCAAATCTACTAGAATCAGGAGCATACCAAGGGGTTACAGGATCACGCCTCAGTAATTAGTTTAGCATTACAGCTTTGTACCAGCTGGGGATGGTGGAGGGAGATCTGGTTGTGAGCAAGGATAATACAATGTTCAAGTAAAAGCATGCTCAACTTCCTGTCATCCGCAGTCAACAGGAAAATTACCTTTTACTTTTTAATGTTAATTTAAAATCTAAGAAGAAATCAGACTAACCAACTTAACAGACTTGGTCATTACATCATAGATAGTTTGGGGTCAAATATTACCCTGAGAACCCAACAGCCTACTACCATGAGTAAGAGAGTTTATGTGTGTGAGTGTGAGTATTTCCATTGACTGGTTCTGTGGACTTTTTGATGTGTGATATGAGAAAGCGACTCACTGGAGTGTTAAACTGAGGTTTCATTCAGTGGACACTTATTTCTACTTTATATTAGGTTATACCAAAATATCTGTAATTATCTGATATGGCCACTTTATCATCCCTTATTGGTTTTTATTTTTTAATCACAGTACATCTTTATGTGTTGATATAAAATAATTAAAAGCTTTATGTTCTTGTTGGCTTACCTGTAAAAAGTGGCAAAGCAGAGGAGCAATATCAGCATTGGATAGTAGATATAAAACCCATCAGATATGAAGGATAGCAGACGCATAGAGCCCATGATCTAAAAGAAGAAGAGAAATTAAGAAACTGTTTTGTTCAAATGCAGAGTTTTGACACCTATGGATATGTTTCTGAACACATCTTTTTACTTTTCCTCCTTAAAGGCAGCACTTTGTTATTAAAACATGATATATGTTGATTTAAGTTTGTATTTCTATTTATTCAATATGAAGGAATGACTGAGCAAGTTTTTTGGGACCCACAGAGGTGTAAGATGTCTGTATTCTGTCCTGGTGTGAAATGGCAGAATCCATGTGAATCAGGCCTAGAAAATTCAGGCACAGAGGAGGAGTGAGACGGCAAAACAGCCTGAGAAGATAAAACAAAGAGAGACACAAATCTATCTCAGAATATTGTTACACTCATACAATAAAACAAAACAAAAAAAAAATGTTTTATGAAACATACATGCCACTAAACTGCAGGCTGTAAGCATCAGTCTGGTGATGTGGTACTAAATGATAATAGTTGAAAACTCGAATCCTGAACACAGTGGAGTAGATGCAGACACACAGGAATAGGATGCTGACAAAGCACACCATCTGGTGGAGGAAAACAAAACAAGTCAGAAGAGGAGGCTGGTTTACTCTCTCAGTCCAGAGGTGAATGTATAAAATGTATGTATAGACAGTTCACATTCTAAGTAACAAGTCAGAACTCTGCTGTTTTCAGCAGGCTTGTGTTTTAAGTGTGTCCCTGTGTAGTAAAGCTCAGCTCTGGCAGGGTGTGTATTTCTGTATGTCTTACTCAACACATACCTACCTCTATACAAATGTAGTTGTACTGTTCTTCAGCCTTCTGAACAAAGACAGCGAAGAGAGAAAGAACAGGGTGTGTGCTGAAGAAGGTGCACTCCGACCAAACTACTGCTGCTGAGAGGAGACAGAGGAGGACTGCCAGCAGCTTGTAGAAACTCTGTCTGAACACACACTCCCAGTACCACTCTGAGAAAAAATAAACAGAGGCCATCAAAACCATTTTTCAGTTAAGTTTACAAGTCAACACATGGCAGGAAGAAGTCGATTAACAGCAATTTTACATAAACTCTCAAGTTGATAAGTCTATTTGAATGCAAATTGTAGGGTATTATTGCTTTTTCAAATTGATTGATATAACTTTTTAGAGGCCCAAGTTTCTAATTACAGTTACCCAAATATTAATTATTTCAAAGGCCCTAATAGCACCTGAACATAAATGAAATTCATAACTGAGACAGAAATGAATGGAATACATTCAGATTTAGCAGCTTTTACGAGGCAGTAAACTAAGAAGCATTCAGTGTGTTGATGTGATATCTTGTGAGAAACATGTAAGTCCTTACAAGCAGAAATAATGGCTTTCTTAATTCGTACTTGATATAAGTAATGAAATACATGTTATTACTCTGGAAACTAGTCCGTATGTAGACAGGTACTTTTGTGAAGGTAGCTGTACGATGTAGTTTGGCCTTTTGTACACATGCAAGAGTGCCGACTCAGTTGAATTTCTGCAGAAAATGTATCTCGCATGAAAAAAAACAAACATCTAAATTCCATCTTCGGTTTGTTTATTTCCACAACAGTTTATATGGAATGTACACACACAGAGTTGGGAAGCTGTAACTTGGTACTAGGTTTGATTGCATGTTTACAGAGGACCTTGCTGTTCTTCAACACTGAGCTCAATAGTTTTTAATCTACTCTATACATGTTATGTACGCAAATGCACAATGTTCTTCTGTGGTGTTTGGTTTGACAGACTGATTGCATATTATAACCACCCACTAGTCTGACATGTGTTTGTGAGAACTTTTCATTATTTCTTTGCCAATTTCAAAATGACCCACCAACATGTGAACCAAGTATAAGTCTGTTTAATTTTGACTTTGCTACTGGCTGAACTCACCCACTGCAGGTGTGTAGATGAACCTGCGGATCCAGCTGTGGTGTGGTGCTGAGGGGAAGCTATGGGTGAAGCGATGGACAGGGCTGCTCTGGCTTTTTGCTACATCTTCCAAATGGAGGGCCTGATCTAGCAAGATAGACCATTGAACCTGAGCCTGTCTGTGTCTATGCACTGAAGAAATTACCTGGAAAACACACACATAACAGGGCATATGATGGTTACCCATAATAACATAATTTTGCTTTTTTATGTCACAATAGCAGCAAAAATGTGTTAAAATAATTACTTTTTTATGAAGCTGAACCAGGCTTCTATTAGTGGGGAGGACATTTTGCTCACCAGAGCTTTCCACATCTCTCCCAAACTCCTCTTGGTACTCAGTAGGACACTGTAAGGAGATGATAGTCATATAGATAAGCACAGATTTACACTGTAAAATACCAAATAACACACACATAAAAAAGATTTTAAAAATTAGGTTGGAACAAATTTGATTGACAGACTGATTCACACCATGTATTTCTCACCTTTGTCAAAATTGTGTCGACACACTTTCTGAGATTGTGGTTGTACCTTACAGATCCATGGACACTTGCCACCTCCTTGTTATAGAAAATATTATTGATCTTGTTAATGTAAAATAAAAAGCGATGGTACCTAATGTTACAAATGTTTCAACTTAAGCAACTGCTTTAATCTCTTTTTTTGCACCTTCTCATTCTAATGGCAGAAAACTGATCAAATGTATAAAACATCACCTCCATAACATTTGCTAGGTGCTCCTCGGCCTCTGCCTTCTCAGTAGCCATCTTGGCTGCCTTGAAATAGGCCTTGGCCAGGAGGTATCCTTGGGAGGATGAGAGCCAGTAAGAACGTGGGATCTCCACCAGGCCGTAGCCTAGCAACAGCACCAGGAGGAAGAGGCCCCATGTGTTGGCAGCAGTAATGCCGATAGTCTGAAGCTCTGACCTGCACAAATTAAAAAAAAAAAAATTGACAAAATCCAAAAATCAAAAAAGGACAACTGGAGCCCACAGGTCTCTCTCTTTCTTTACTTTTAAGCATTTGTGTTTAACTTACCATGTGAGATGCCACTTTGGGTGAGTGGCCAGGTATATAAGAAGGGAGATGAAGATAAGAAGGTATGTGCCATAATAGAGAGCATTTTCAATCAGAGCTGTTTTAGCCTTTCCAGCTCTTGAAAAAGCCCCTGACCGTGCATACGACTGCATGAAAGGCAACAGCAACCTATATACACACAAAGAACACATACACAAATATAAAGATGGACACTTGACAAAGTTTCTTTATAGCAAAGGGGGGGGGGGGGGGGCATACAGCAGTCATAGCATATGATAGGAACTTACCAAGTAAGGAACTGAGAGGTCCAGTAGACAACCCTCCAGAACACTGGTAGGACACCATCTGGGATGTAACTCCAGGGCTCATCACAAGCCTTTGGTTCCCTGGAACCCCATAATTGAAAGAAATAAGAACATGCATGAATTGAGGTGGTGTGTGTTTTGCAGAGGGTTGTTTTCTATGGAACACTAGGTTAAAAGCTTGAGTCAAATGTCATATTTTATACTTTTGCAATATAAGTCGCATCAGTAAAAGCTATACTAAAGGTAGCTCTCACTATCTTATTCACCTGTCGGTTGAGTAAACAGAGAAGTCTTCACCCGTCTGATTGGAGTTTCTTGTCTGAGTTACATCCGTAGGGTGGTGCTTTGAATTGTCAAGAACACACTGCTTGTAGATGGTCTGAAAGAGGAGCACATTGTGACACCAATTCATCACATAACAGTGATTCAGACAGGATGCCTGAGAGAATAGAATCAGTAAATAAAACAGTAAAACGTATAGCAATAAATAAAACATCTGAACCTTAAACATACACAAATTACTCTTAGCAACATGAATGTTAATACACTGCGTCAGAGGAAAGGCAATAAAATGACACATTTTGAACTGTTGCAGTGGTGTCATACCGTGCTGACATCAAGTGGCAGGATGAAGACAATGAGAAAGCAGAGGTACCAAGCCAACAAAGTCCCCAACAGGACCATTGGCTGCTGCTTCCGCAGATCCCCATAACGCTGCAGGAGGTAGAGGGACAAGAAGAAAACTGATATGGCCACAACAGCCAGAACAGCACCACTCATAGTGATGAACGAAGACACTGACGTCAAGAGGCCATAATGACAGACTGAAGGAGTGAGAGAGAGAAGAAGAGAAAATGTAATCAGACTGGATATCAGCTGTTATGTCATGGATAACAGGGATGAAAATGTGACATTTACATTCAGAGCAGAGCACATACAGTACAAGATAACATCAAACCTTCTCTGTTTCTTTTTCACATTACTGAAGAATATATTAGCTGAGAAGCTGCAAAAAAAAGCAGGTAAACAAGCTTATACCTCTCTTTTTGTCCCGTTTGTTTATTAAAATGAAGAGGTGCCCGAGGCTCAGTTTTAGACCCATTACTGTTTACTTTGTACATAACTCACAGGATTGTCAAAACATTCAGTGTTGCATAGATCTATAAAGTGAAAAAAAACAGCTACAGGTCCATGAAATTTGTAAGTCTTGTTAACTTTTAAGTTTAGAAAATGCAAATAAAAACAGTGTTAATATTGTTGGCCAACAGAACTAAAAGTAGTAGTAATATGTCACAGAAAGGTCTATGGGCTACAACAATTCGTGATTTTAGGCTACTTTTCAATCACCGATGAGCCTCTTTGGCAATATTTCTCTTCTTTTCCGTACACTTCTAACCAGAGCTGAATAAAAGCGGCTGTAGTCCACTTATTTTTGTGATATCACCCCCATGGTCGTGGTAAAATCCTTATGAACACAGTTTGTCACAACTATCGCTCTCGGATACTTATTTCGTGTTGTCGGTCGAGATTCATTCGGTTCAAACAAAGCGCCCGTGAATAATGAAAGAAAAGCCAGAGTAACTATTACCTTGTGTGCCTCTTCTCCGAGGTTGAAGCTTTACAAGGAGTGAACTGTCAGAAATTTCTGTCACATTGTGTTCCCGGACAGTAGAACGCGATAAATACACAGAACCTTTGAAACGGCGTTACGTAACTGCCAACAACAACATGCTGTCGTTGACGCAACACGGAATTCTGGGTATTGTAGGCGGAACGATTTTTTTAAACCTCCAGAGTGGCATATCCAATAAAGAACAGACGATATCAAACTAGATAGTGGAGAGGGTAAAAAAAGCAACTTCAAAGTCACAAGTTTCTCTAAGCCCTACTCGGTCAATACAAAATGATTTAAAACATATTAAATAAAGTCAGAGAAGGATTTCTCGGCATTATTGTAATTGCATTCTTTTCGATTTTGTTTTCGCACAGCAGTTTTTTTTGGCATTATCTGCAGCTTCTCTACACTGCCATATGAGTACAATTTACACTGAAATAGATAGTACTTATACAACTTCCTGCTCATTCAGTACGTGAATGTGTAGTGTTTGTAAAAACAATTAAATTACAGTTTGGTCCTTCACATGTTGCTAAGTGTCCCTTCTTGTAACTAATACCAAGTTTAGAAGGTTTTACTCAAAATTATAATTGCATATAAAGGCCTTAATGAGTCACACATGCATAAAATGTATGGTTATCACATCAGACAATGGCCTGTGATGTCTTTTTGTGGGGTCCAGAGTTTTTTGTGATGTTCTGTGATGGTTTTGTTTGCTTTTTTTTTTGTTATAAAAGGTCATCAATTTGAATGTCAGTTCATTTAAAAAAAAATTTGAAAACGTGTCCCACCAAAGAGTGTTAAGTTTCTTATCTCTCGAAACATGACATGTAGATATGACACAACTATGCAGCAAGTTAATCCCATGTAGCATGAAGACATTTCTTTATTCCAGGGAATTATTTACATGCACAACAGATCATACAAGCAATATCCTCTAATTGTTCAAGAATTTTAGAGCTATATGTTTTTTTTATGTTTTCTGGCTGCAACAACAGTTTCTCAGAAGGTCTTACAGCCAATCAAAAATACAACAGGACAGCAACAAAGTGGTTCTCTTGATCTTGTAAACAGAACCAAACAATTTCATATTTTAACATATAACATCTACTGATTGACGATGAGTCGTCTGTTGCTGTTGAGAATAACTTTCATGCCAACATTTACCTTTAAAATAAATCACATGCACTGATTCTGAAGTGTACTGAAGCTATTTTGGTTGGTTTTCCAGTCAGTCTTACATCCCAGAGTCTAGAGTCTAACTGAACCCTTTACACCAGCATAAATGAAAGTATGAGAGTTTCAGGTTTCTTGGTCTCAGGATTTATGATCTGACAAACTGGAAAAAGAAAACAAGAAGACAAGCATTTTCAACCCAGTTCATTCTTGGATGAACAACCACATAAAGGGGTCATCTGAGTACAGAGGGCCGAGTACATTAAAACAAGCAGCTCTTGTTTCCAGCAGTAAGTCCATATGGTTCAACAGTTCCAAACACAGACTTTCAACAAGGTACAGACAAGGAGACCAGTCTTCATCAGCTGGGGAGATATCCAGTGCATCTATCCACACCGAACCAAAGATGTCCAGAGATTCTGACCAGTCCTCCAAGAAATTCTCCATCAACTCCATCTTCTTAATACGTGAATCTGTTAAATCAATCCTGGATACACCTCTTTTAGCCTTTCACTTCTTTTCCGGTTGGTCTGATCTCCTCTTGCTCTATCCGTGCCTCTGCTGCTTTCCTTTCTCTGGTTTCTGCAGTGTTCAGCTCTGATCCCTTACAACTGTTACACTTGCAACCTGGCAGCATTGGCAGGTGCTTAGTGAAGCCATCTGTCAGTCAACAATCTCACCTTAACACCCCATTACTGGATTACTTGAATAAGCTGTATAAGTATTCAGAACCTCATACCTATATTGAGTTCCATACTCAGACAGAGAGATGCTATTTGTACATATTAAGGAGGAAATGTTCTCCAGTTGATTGAGTGGTCTATGGATTAAACATTAACACAAAGACTTGAATTTATTTACCAGAAAACTGTGTGTAGAGCCAAAAAAATAACCCAGAAAGAGAAAACTATATTGAAAAGTAGAGTTGGATCCAATCTTTGCTTCTGTGCAATACTAACCTGTCCTCTAGGGAAATGATTGACAAACAGAGATGTCTGAACTAGAATTTACAGGATCTTGTTTGACACTTTCTACCACTAGATGGAGGTAATGGATTTGTTCTGAAATATGTTTGTGTTTCCCAGCAAGAAAATGCAAAATTCAGTGTGGTCTGTTTAAAGCAGAGGATATATACACACCTACATGAAAGAAGTGCAGTCTGATTCAAGAGTCCCAACGAATCCCATAGACATTAATGTTAAAATATTGCAATTTTATATGCAGACTGTGAACAGTTGTTTATCTAATTTGTCTTTTTAACAAAGACTCACTGAGGCCATCAAAACATGAAATGTCATGAAGGTGAAAGAAAACTTAGAGATGGTTTTTATACCTCAATCGAGAAAAAAGTTTTAAAAATCTACTTGCATGGTATAATTTAGAGTAGGAATCAGACTTCAGAGTTCAGAGGTCTGCTGAGGTGAGCTGTCTTATCTTGTACTATTGTCTTCAATCTTTTTCTAACAATGTCATGCATCATTTAAATCCTTTGTTAATGAGACAGTCTTAATACAAAAAGAGGGGTATCATATTTTATTTATTAAGAGTCCTGAAAACATCTTTACTAAAGACTTGATCAGGTTTCCCTATCCTTGGCACCAAAGGGCACCAATTGTCTCACAAAGTCTCATCATGCACCTAAAAGGGTGGGGTGATAACAAGTGTTAAAACGCGGTCATTAGACAGAAATATGATTCAGTTATGAGTTATAATATGGACATACATTTTTTTTGTAAAATGGTAAATGGACTGTATGTCTACATTAGTCTGTTGACCCCTAAAAACTGTTTCACATTTTGTCACATTCACACCACATTCGAACACCACATTCGAACACCATCAGCAGAGGCTGCCATGTGAAGTGGACATCAGTACTCTCTTATCGTAATTCACTCGTTAATACTCAACCACAAACTTCAGGATATGTCACTGAGTAATTTCAAGTTGGTTATCTTGCCCAAAGGCACTGCATATTAAAATTGGCTTGCAGAGCTGGGATCAAACCACCAACCTTTGCACTATAACTGAAGACAACAGATTCTGCCACCTCTGGATGGTACATGTTAGCGGGTGAAGTTAAAGATGATGTATTTTGTTCAAACAGATTGCACATAACAGTATGTATAACTTTTTAGTCTTTCATCTAATGATTTTTTTGTGTCTTTTTTTAAAGTTGATTTAATGTGCTTTTCTAAAAAATATATATTTTCACCAGCCTTTACATACACCCTCTTATTTCAGGTTTTTATACACAGGTGTGCACATGTGTTGGAAAATTAGTTTGCGGATGTGTAGGCCCTGTAAACCCATAAAAACCTAAGGCTATGTGTCTTATAAGCACACATGCACACATCTATGAGCAGAAAAAGATTTTTTTTTTTTTTTGTTCTTATGTGTTTTTAAAAGTATAAACTTATTTTTGTTTTGTTTTTTCCTTTACCAAGGTTTTGAGTTTTATAAGAAAGCATTCCTGAGTAGATGTGATGGAAGGTATATGCAATGCACTTTGTTGTCAAGTAGAGGATATAGTGCAGACACTTTGGACTATGTTTTGGTCCTTAACTATCTATTGTGCATATATAGAAAAGTCCAGATTGCATTAACAGTTCTTACTTTGTTATGAATCATTCTTCTATGTACTTTAAACTGTTTTATTTACCATATACTGTACTTGCACAAGCTGCTCCAAACTGCCCCAGTTGGTTTTCTAAATTTGTTCAAATTTCCCTCTAAAATTTAGAAGATCAGTTGTACACTTAAAAAAACAGATCAAAATAGCGCAAAAAGTACCAAGTAACTGTAGGTATGAACTTAAGTAGATGTACTCAGGTGGTAGAGGTAAGATATGTGGTGTGTGACAGAGGGGATTCCTCGTCAGTGAGGAGGGGAAGTTTGTTTTCCTGTCTTGTACATTCTGGGTTCCTCTGTCTCTTCCGCTGCCTTTACCCTCAGAGTCAAGTCCAAGTGTTCTTACCCTTCAACTCTTTTGCCCTCTTGTTCTCAAACGCTACCACTGTCCAACACACACACACACAAACACAAACACTCACACTTCCAGCCACCAAACCACTGGGACCACGTCCAGTGTGGCCTCTTTGAGCTCAGTGAGAAATGGTGTATGAACAGCCTCGTCTCCCATCGTGCTCATTGAACAACAGCTACGAGTGCGCTGAGACCCCAGGGTTTGAAGTCTGTAACATTTGATCCATGGGAAACCCTCGTGCACAATAACGCAGGCTAACAAAGTGGCCCCAGTTCTGTGTGTCCCAAGAGGGCCACTGTAGACTGCAGATCTTATAACCTGTCCTCGATACATCACCCCCCTGGGATTGGACCACTCCCATCTGAAACGATGGGCCCAACGAAGAATCTGAACCAGCTTGAGTTACACACAGTCTGTGGTGTTTAGACTGGGGTATGGCTTGTGTGTTTCTGTCTATCTGTGTGTGTACCAAATGTGAGTCTGTATGTGTGTGTGTGTGAGAGAGACAGAGGCAAAGTTTGTGTGTTTGTGGCGTCAGACCTTTTACTGTAAATTTAAATAGCTGTTGATATCGTAATGTTAGGTTAGAGTAGTCAAGGAGGCAGATGATGAACTGCCAAACCCTTGGACAATTTTCTTCACTTCTAAGCCAAAAGAAAGAAAAGAAAAGAAAAAAAATCCACGCTGTCCAAGAGTTTATGTAATTCAAAGAAGAATAGGCAATCATTATCCCCCTTTTCTGCAACAAATAAAGGCTATCCAGCAGCCTTGTTCCCAATGTTTAATGATTTTGCCAGATTTTGCTCTTTGCTTTGATTTTTTTTTCAGTCAGTGAAAGTGGAACATGTGGTTCCATATTCCTCCTGCATAGATGTCCTGGGGAAAGTTAGACCAGCTACCCAGGACTCCGATTGAGTAAGAAGGTCCTCAATGGGCCTGAAATGTGAATGAAGTTT